GGGAGCCCGGGGGAGAGGCCTGGTGCTGCTCTCATTAGCGTTACGTGGCGGAAGAGCAAGGCTACGGCAGTGCTTCCCTGGAAGGCTTAAGCTGCTTCCTGCAGCGTTTGCAGTCTGACGTTCCCGAGCTTCGCTCGTGTCGTTTGAAAGGGTCGCTTACCTCGTCGCTTTTTCAGGTCTCCCATCCACGGCCGGGGCCTGTTCTGCAAAAGGAACATCGACGCAGGTGAGATGGTGATCGAATATTCAGGCAATGTCATTCGCTCCATCCTCACTGACAAACGAGAGAAATACTACGACAGTAAGGTGAGTTCTGGGCTTCGGTAGAAGGTCTTAAAGAGTTGGGGAGAACTAGGACGTGGGTGAGGAGGTGGGGCGGGCTCGTGCGGAAGCTGCGCTAGGGACAGCGTGAGCTGGGGTCGCAGGCTCTGCGGGGTGGGTCCCTTCTCGCCGGAGCTCGAGGGGCGCCGCCGCTTTCCTCGCGCGGGCTGGGAAGGGTCTCGGTGCCGCAGATCCAGAGCGCGCGGGGAGCGAACGATTTAACGATTTGCGCGGGAGCTCGTGAAGAGAGGTTGCAGATACTCGTAGGGGCTTGACTGCCCTCTGCTCGCCGCCGTGAGCCGGGCGGCCTGCGAGGAGGGCGGCTCTGTCTTCAGCCCCCTGAGCCGACCCCCTTTCTGTCCTCCTCGCGTAGGGGATCGGTTGCTACATGTTCCGCATTGACGACTCCGAGGTGGTGGACGCCACCATGCACGGGAACGCGGCCCGCTTCATCAATCACTCCTGCGAGCCCAACTGCTACTCCCGGGTCATCAACATCGATGGCCAGAAGCACATCGTCATCTTCGCCATGCGCAAAATCTACCGAGGGGAAGAGCTCACGTACGACTACAAGTTCCCCATCGAAGACGCCAGCAACAAACTGCCCTGTAACTGCGGCGCCAAGAAGTGCAGGAAGTTTTTAAACTAGAGCTTCCGCCAGCTGCAAGTGAGCCCTGAAGGGCCTGGGGCGAACCGAAGCTTCGCGCGAGTCCCTCCCCGGCCGCTCGGACGGGGCGGCGAGGCCGGAGCCGGGAGTGAAGATCGGCTGGGCTCAGGGACCCGACTGGCGGCTGTTTCACTGTCAGAGTCCACATCTCCATGTCTCGCATGCGCACACTTACCCTCGTGAAAGACACGGGCGACTGGAGAAGATCCTCAGCGTGATTATGGTTTTGCTGTTCTCATTTTCCCGCCCCCCCCCCCCCGCCCCCCGTATTTGTTTCTCGACGTGGGGCTGACGAGCGGGAGAGGGGAGGGGAGGTCGGGCCAGGCCCGAGCGTGGGGGAGCGACCGTGGCTCCCGTCCCGCTGCCCCTCTCCGTCTCTGGGCTCAGCGCTGAAGGTGGTGCTCCCCTCCTCATCGGAGGGCTGTGCCACACGTCTGGTGGCACGGGGCTTGTGTGAGCTTTCCCGCCAGGGAGAGAGGCTGCGCCCTTCCAACCCGCCGCCCCGGGGGCCGCGCGCGCGCCTCGGTGCTGCCTCGTGCTGTGTGTCTGCCAGACTCTCGGCTGTGGCGCGGCGGCGTGGCGTGGGCCTGCCCTGGCGGGGCGCGTCCAGCAGGGCCGGGAAGGGAGCAGCCCGCGACTAGGGCGAGGAGGGTTTGGCTAGCGCTTCGCTCCGACGTCCCTGCCTGAGCGCAGGGGGATTCCTGGCGCGCTTTGGCAGGGAAGGGAGGGCTTGTGCCAACGGTCGTGGTGCTGGCAGTGCGCGGGCGAAGGCTTCGGCGGGGCAGCGCCCGCCCTCTCTGGCTTGGCAGGAGGGAAGCAGTCCTCTCCCCGGCCCCAGCGGCGGCACCAGCTTCCTCCCCGGCCCCTGCCCGGCGAGCCGAAGGTGCTGGGCCGAGGGACGGGGAGAGGGCGCCGGGGTCGCCGCGTTCGGCCGTAGGGCGGGAGCTGGGAAGGGCTGGTGCGGGGGCTCCGGCGGGAGCCGCTCTGCCCAGCCCCCCGGCAGGGGGTCCCCGGGCCGGGGGGGGGGGGGTCAGAGCGGCGACGGTGGGCAGGCGCCTGCCGTCCCGCGGGTGTAGTCGCGTCCCCGGCCCCGAAAGGCGCGGCAAGAGGCACCGAACGGAGCAGAAGGCCGCTGCTAAGGCCAGGCCAAACACTAAGCAGCCTCGTCTGCGCCGCGCGGCATCCGGAAACGCGCGGGAAAGAACTGAGCGGTTGGCAGGGCCGAAATTGCTGGGGCTGAGGAACCGGGCCGGTGGGTAAGCAGATCGAAAGACACTATGGCCCTTGCTGAAGTAGCGTGAGTCCTCCTCCCGGTCGGGTCCGCTCTGCGCCTCCAAAACAAAGACAGAGGGAAAGAAGTGAAGAGCCCCAAGCCTAACAAGTGACGACATTGGATTTTACTCTGTTCTGTTTACAGTTTAGTATTTAAGGTTTTATAAATGTAAATATATTTTGTATATTTTTCTATGAGAAGCACTTCATAGGGGAAAGCACTTATGACGAGGCTTTTTAAACAGTGGTATTATCCTAATTTAAGAGAAGCTCTTTTTAATGATTTTTTTATTTTCATAGGACGGTTGTAGGACATACCTGGCTGGACACAGTCTGATCCTTTCTCCAGAGTGGGGGGCGGGGTACGCGTTCTTTTTATTTTTCACTCTTGTTCTGCCTTTTTGACTTCAGTACCTGTTTCCAGGAGGTTCGGCTGGACCTTAAACTTTATTTACCCGTCAGGGTGGGGGCGGGAGGGAGAATCGCCAAGCGTAGGAGGAGTGTGACTCTGTCTGAAGGACCGTCCCTGCCCCCGGGCAGGAGGCGTGATTCGGCCGTGCCCCGCCACCATCCCGCGGGCACTCAGGAAGGAGAATGGAGGAGAAAGGAGGAGGGAGGCCTGGCCCTCCATCCCTCTTTTGCTGGGAGGCTGCGCCGGGGCCCGCGCCTCATTCCGCAGCCCCTCTGGTGGAGGTGGAGGAGTTTTTCCGTGGAGGAGGGAACGCGGGAAGCGCCCGCGCTTTTCCAAGCTGTCCCCGCGGGTAGATCGGCAGCCGCCGCGGGAGCCGGCGGGTTGCAGGGCCGCTCGGGAACGGTGTCGGCCGTCGCCAGGGCAGGGACAGGGGCGCCCGGTGCTCGCCGTGGAGCCCCCCAAAGCCCCCCAAATCCGCACCCGCCGGGCCCCCGCGCCTCTCCCTCGCGCTCGGAGGGTCGGAAACCGCCGGTTTCCTCTCGCTATTGCACTGTGTGACGATGACCTGGCGGTAACCCTTGGAAGCAAAGTCAGGCCGACGCTGCCTTTGTGACTGAGACGATTTGATGCACTGACAGTTTGGGAACGCACATACCCCGAGCAGGCCCGAGAGAGCGTGCCCGGGGGCTGGCGGCCCCGCGCACCGCCGCCCGCGCTCCTCCTCCTTCCCCCCGTCTGGCGGCAGCGCCGGGGAACAGCCCTCGCCTCGGCGAAGCCCCCGGCTCCGTCCGAGTAGCGCAGCTCCGCCGCGGCTTCCCCCGCCCGCGCTGCCGCCGCCTCCCGCCGAGGGAGGACGAGCGTCTTCCCCGGCAAGCGCGTCCGCCCAGCCGCCGGGCTGCGGGAGGGGGCTCCGGCTGGGACGCCCTGCCCAAAGCCACCCCACGGCGGGGAGGAGGAGGGCCGGGGGGCGCGGCGTGCCGTGGCAGCCCCCCGAGAACCCAGCGCCAGGCGCCTCTCCTCCCGCGGGTCCGGCTGGCTCGTCCGCTTTGCTGCTACAGCCGTCGCGGCTGCCTCGGCGGGAGCCGCCGTGGCCGGTGGCCCTGTCCGTACCGCCGGGGAGCGCGCCAGGGCGAGCGGCGGCGAGTGCGGGGGCCACCCGCCCCGCGGCCCCGCTCTGCCCGGGCCGGCGGCCAGCGCGGCGCAGCTGCCCCGTGTATGAATGTATATTTTATAAGGACTGACGCAGATCACGGAATCTGAAAATACTGAAGAAGAAGAAGAAGGAGAGAGAGAAAAAAAAAAAAAAAAAAAAAAAAAAAAAGGAAACTTAGGGCGTTTAAATTTCTTTGTACAAAGCGACGTGGGTTTTTTTTAAAGGAAAAGCGGGTCATTGCAAAGGGCTGGGTATCTTTTCTTTCTGGTTTTCTTTCATTTCAAAGCAATACCAGGTTCTTCAGCGAGACGGTCTTCGTGCAGAATCATGCCATCCAAACCCATACTACTGGTCCACTCTCGACACTCACGAGTTTTTTTTTTTATAACTATAAATACGATATATATAGGAACTAATATAGTAATGCACCGTGTAATGAAGCCTAGTTCAGTATCGGTCCATGGCTTTTACTTCTCTTAACACTATAGATAAGGATTGTGTTACAGTTGCTACCGACAGCCGGGAAAGCCCCGCCGCGCGTTCCCGCCGGGCCGGCAGCTCCCGGGGCGCGGGCGGCTCGGCCTTTCCCGGCCCTTCGTGTTACCAGTCAGTACTTGTACAACTTGGTTTCTTCCTTTTCTTCCTCTCGTTTTGGTTATGAATGTTGGGGTACCACCTGCATATAGGGAAAAAAAAAATGTGCTCTGTGCTTTCCTGGTATCTTTTTAACGAGGTACAGTAGCTTTGTCTATCAGCCGAGAACTATACTTGTGGTGTTTCTTTTATTGAACTTAACAGTCTCTTTAGTAAATACAGGTAGGTGAATAATTGTTTCAAAAAAAAAAAAAAAGGCAAAAAAAAATAAAAGCTCTGCAAAGGCAAGGTTATGTTCTAGAAATACATTTCTTGACAACTTATCATGTATAACAAATCTCTTTTTTTTTTTTTTTTTTTTTCTTGTGTTCTTCCAAGCTTCTGGTTGTTTGGTTTTCTTTTTTTAAAAAAAAAAAAAAAAAAGAGGAAACGTGTCTAAAGTACATCAGTGTTAACTCCCTGTCACAGGGAAGAAGGAAATACTTTAATAGTTTAAAAAAATGCTGAAAGCTCTGCAAAAGACTGAATGTAAAAATAAAAAAGTGTACATAGTTGTAAAAAAAAAAAAAAAAACCAAAAACCACAAAAAAAAAACAAAGGAGTTTTTAAACATGTTTATTTTCTATGCACTTTTTTTTATTTAAGTGATAGTTTAATTAATAAACATGTCAAGTTTATTGCTGCAGAGGGCTGCTCTCGATTTCTTCTTGAGGTAGAGGAGCCGCTTGCCCCGTGGCGCCGTGGGACGCGGCGGCTCAGCCGGCGGGGCCGGTGCCCCCGGGAAGCGGCGGGGCCGGTGCCCCGCCCGGGATAGGACGGGACGGGGCCGGGGGGGGGGGGGACACGCGGTGCCCGCGGGGTGAACATTAACCTGCCCGCGGGGCCCCGGGGGCACCATGGCCACGGCGAACGACAGGGCCGTCCTGCAGACCATCTTTAACCCCAGCACCCCCTTTGGGGATATCCCTGGGCTGGACGAGGAGGAGGAGGAGGAGGAGGACGCGCAGGAGGAAGGTGAGGCGAGGCTGCGGTGGGGGCGGCAGCCGGTTCCCTGCGCTGCCGGCGGGCGGGCGGGGGCAGGGGGGGCGCGGGCCGGGAGCAGAGCCCAGACCCCGGGGCGGTGCCCACCCGGGGCAGCGGGGTGCGGGGTGGGCACGGGGGCGGCCCCCCCCCCCCCCGACCCCCGGGGCTCCCGTCGCGCCGCCGCAGGAGGAGCCTTCGCGCCCGAGGTGCTGGAGCAGGTGCGGGACCTGGAGCTGCAGGGCGTGTCCGCCGCCGAGTCGGGAGACGTGAGCGCGGCCCTGGAGAGGTTCGGCGAGGCCATCCGCCTGCTGCCCGAGCGCGCCTCTGCCTACAACAACCGGGCCCAGGCCCTGCGGCTGCGGGGGGACGTGGCAGGTGAGCAGCAGCACCGGTGTGGCCGATGCGGGGCGGGGGGGGGGGGGGGGGGGGGACACCCCCAGCCCGCCCTGACGCCTCCCTCCCGCCGGGCCAGGCGCCCTGCGGGACCTGGAGGCCGCGATCCGCCTGAGCCGGGGCCGCGGCCGTGCCGCCTGCCAGAGCTTCGTGCAGCGCGGCCTGATCCACCGGCTGCAAGCTCGGGACGAGGATGCCCGGCGGGACTTGGAGCGGGCGGCGCGGCTGGGCAGCGCCTTCGCCCGGCGGCAGCTGGCGCTGCTGAACCCCTACTCGGCGCTCTGCAACCAGATGCTCAGCGAGATGCTGGGGCGGCTGCGCAACCCCGGCGGCCCCGGGAGCGAGTGAGCCGGGCAGGAGAAAGGGCGAGGTAGCGCGTGGGGCGGGCACGTCCTGGCCCCTGCAGAAAGTCCACCGCCAGCGCTGGAGCTCCTGGATCTCCTCCTCTTGGCTGACAGCCGGGGACGGAAAGTGCTCTGGCTCTGCTCCGCCCCCAATAAACCGCCCCGTGTCCCTGGCGCTCGGGCTCCGCTTGTGGTGTTGCAGGCAGCTGCGGCGTTCTTCCCGTGCGTGCACAGCCCTCCCTGAGACGGGGGGGGGGGGGCCCGTGGGCGCGGGGCTGGGCTGAGCCCCCCCGGTGCTGAAGCGGGGAGATGGGAGGCACGGGGACCTCCATCCCTGCCCTGGCTGGGGGCGGGGGGGGGGGGGTGTGGGGCGGAGTCTGGGGCCACCCGTGCGCGTCGGCGCCGTGCTCGGGGCCAGCCGGGCAGCAGGAGCGGCTGCGCGCAGCACCGGCCCCGCTGGGGGAAGGCGGCCGCTCGGGGGGTGCTCGCCGCGGCGCCGGGGCCCAGGCGCAGAGCTGCACTGCGGGCCGGGCCGGGCGCGGCAGCGGCCGCGCTCCAGGTAAGGGGCAGCCCGGCCGCAGCTTCCAGCCCTGCTGCGGGCGGGGGTGCCGGCGGCCCGGCACAGGGATGGCCCCGCGTCACTGCTCCCGCCGCCGCCCTCCCGGTGCTGAGCGCGGCCGGTGCGCCCAGGGGCGCCCCGGGGCCTGGCCGGGGGCTGCCCTTGCCCGCCTGCTGCTGCTGCTCGGCCTCCCGGTGCTCTGCTCGGCAGGTGAGGCTGTGGCGGGGTCCGGCGCACGGCTCCGGCAGCGGGACCCCGCTGCGGCTCTGACGGGCGGCGGGCTCTCCGTCAGGGCCGGGGGAGCCGGGCCCCACCATCAACGGGCAGCCGCTGGCGGTGTGCGCGCTGCGGGAGGAGGAGAGCCGTGCCTTCACCTGCCGGGCCCCGCGGCCGGCCCCCGGGGCCGCGCTGCTGTGGTACCTCGACGGCCGGAGGCAGGAGGCAAACTGCTCGGCCGCGGGCACCGCCAGCACCCTCACCCTCACCGCCCGGCGCACCGACCGCGAGCTCAACTGCTCCCTGACGGACCCGGCCTCCGGTGAGACCTACAACGCCTCTGTCCTCCTCGACGTGCAGTGTAAGGTCCGCGGTGCCGGCCCTGCCCCGGCCGGAGGTGCGGGGAGGGCACGTGGGGCCGCTGCCCGGCCGGAGCGGGACCGCGGCCTGCGCCCAGCGCGGCCGGAGCAGGGCAGCACATCATCAGTCCTGTGCAAACGCGGCTGACGAGCGCTCCGGGCGAGACAAATCCTGCTCCTGGCTGTGCTGCCCCCGTCCCTCCTGCCTGTCTCACTGCCTGTGTTTGTTGCCCAGATAAGCCAGAGATCCTGCGGGCAGATGCCCGCTACCAGGAGGTCGAGGGCGCTGGGCTCGTCCTGGTGCTCTTTGTGCTGGTGCAAGCCAACCCGCCCGCCAGCGTCACCTGGGTGGACCAGGATGGGCGCGTGATGGCCAACGCCTCCGAGGTCCTTCTCCTGGGTGCCACGCGCTACCCGGGGCTGGCCAACCACTCGCTCCGCGTCCACCTCGACGGGGCGGCCAGCAACTTCTCCATCAGTGCTGCCAACAGCGTGGGCGTCACCACCGCTTCCCTCCTGCCCCCAGGTAGGTGCTGGGGGGGGGGGGGGGGGGGCGCGGAGCAGCAGCCCCACGGAGGGGTGCTGAGCGGGCCACGCTGCCCGTGCAGGTCTGCTGGATTCCCGCGTGGAGCTGCCCCTCCTGGGTGTTGCCGTCGGAGCGGCCCTGGCCCTGGGCGCCCTGCTTAGCCTGGGCTCCTGCGCTGCCTGCCTGGCGTGCCGCCGGCCCGCGCCGGAGCCAGGTAAGGGCCGAGCGGGAGAGAGCAGCCCGCTCAGCCGGTGCTCCCGTTGCAGCCGCTCCGAGCCCCCGCGCCTGCCCCGCCAGACCCGCTCCCTGCCGCCCGACCTGCGCCTCGGCGACCTCGAGCAGGCGGCTGGAGGTGAGGCCCCGGAGCCACGGGTCCCGCCGGAGCGAGGGGTCAGTGTCCCGGCTCTCAGGCCTTTCCTTCCCCACAGCTTCCCCCGATGAGGTGGGAGCCAGTGCCGGAGGGGAGGAGAGCGCTCTGCCCGCCATAGGGAACTCCCTGGTCCTCAGCAAGCTCGGTGAGGGGGTGCGGGTGGGTGCGCGGCCCGGAAAGCTGTGCGGCGGGCACGCCGACCTCCCCGGTCTTTGTGCCACAGGTTTCATCCAGCTCCCACTGTCCGGGCGCATCTACAAAGTGCCGAGCGTGAGCAGCGACGAGATCTGGCTGTGAGACGCGGCGTGGTGCCCCTGAGGGAGGGCTGCCCGGCGCCAGGTACGTACCGGCCTCTGGAGAAGCTGCGGAGGCTGGGCCGGGCGGGGGGCGCCGAGCAGACCCCCGCTGTGCGGTAAAGCTGCGCGCCGCAGGTGACGGTAGCCGCACCGGTAGCCGGGGCGTGTTTCCACGTAGCCTGCGCACTTAGACAGGCAGGCTATTATAAAGAGAACGCATGAAAGCTGTTCATAGCCAGGCTCTGCCAAGCTGCTCGCGCTGCGATTCCTCCCAGGGTACGGCCAAGCACCAGCCTCGCTTTAGCAGATTCGCAGCCTGCTTGCTGCGTGATCCCCTCCGCCCCCGCCAGAGCCGCGGCAGACGGGTGGGCAGGGGCTGCAGAGGGTTGTCCCGACAGCAATAAACGTCAGTCAAGCAATCTGTGTGGTGCCGCGCCGGTTATTTCTCCTCGGCAGCAGCTAAGGGGCCTGAGAATAGAAAAAGAGGCTCAATACTACGGGGCAGAGGAGATTCGTGATCCCCGGATCAGACCTTGGAACACACTGCGCAGACCGAAGAGCGGTGTCCGAGCACGGGATTTATTTCCACTTGCTCTGGCGCTCGTAGCGTGTGCCGCAGGAGCCTCTGCTCGGCCCAGGGAGCCTGTCACTGGGGCGAGCTGGTTTAGTGCTGAAGTGCTCGGGAAGAAGTCAAAGAGAGAGCAATTAGGCAGCTTCTGCAGGAACCGTGATGAGTACAGTCCTGGTGCGTGAAGGCAGAGCAGCGCAGCCGTGTCTGTAAAACCAGGGAGGCTCCTCCGGCGCCGTGAGCGCCTTCGCAGGCCGCTGGGCTCAAATCCCACAGCCCAGCAGCAGACGCTGATCCAGGCGGCGAGGGCTTAGCACGAAGCCTCAAGGAAAGCTTAAGACTTCCGCATCTGCCGCTTGTGAAGGTGGGTTGGATGGCGGGCTCCCGCCCTTCTTCCCATCAGCCAGGGGCTTGAAATGCTGCAGGGGAAGGAACGTGTTAGCGCGGCCACCCAACGCTCGCTCATCAGAGCGCACCCGCGCGTCTGAAAACGCCAGCCGCTTCTGGCTCTGCGTGAGCTGCGTGCCCAGCAGTCGCCCTGACTTTGGAGGGAAAAGCCATCCGGGCTTCTGCCGGCCTGTTGGACAACGCGGCACCCCTGCCTTGTGGCACACGGGCGGCTCCTTGTGAAATGCTGAGGTGCTGGGGAAACCGGGAGCTTAGCAGACGTTCTGTGGAGCCCTTTACCGTGGCCTGGCAGCCCTTTGCAAGCACCCGTGGGACAGCAGAGGCCTCGGCAAGGAGAGGAGCTTTGCAGTGCCTCCAGCTGGGAAAGCAGCGCCTCTCTGGAGTTGTATACCTGCGAGTTCTTGAACTCCGAGTAGAGGGAGAAGAGGACATGCAGAGGCTGGATCCGACTCTTGTACACGGGGATGTCCAGAATGGCTACGAGGGAGAGCACAGGCGCGTGAGGGCGTCCGGGCAGCACCGCCCTGCGCTGGGTGCTGTAGGTCAAGGCTGGGCCTCCCCCTGCCCACCATCAGCTGGGTCTTCACCCATCGAAGACCGCAGGCGCCCGCAGCACGGGAGCCCGCTTCCTACCGAGGGCAGCGGCGAACGCCCCCGACTGCCCGGGGCTGAGCCGGCGCCCAAGGGTCTCTCGCCTCAAGCGAGACGGTGCCAGGCCGGCAGCACGCCTGCGTCTGCAGCGCAGCCTCCCCGGCTTACCGCAAATCACGTCGACGTACTCGGCCAGGTCGCAGCTCATCTCCGCCGTCGGGAGGCCCACCTGGAACAGACGGGGCGTCAGCTCGGCTCCCGAACAGCCAGAGCTGGAGGCCACGCGCCGATCTCGGGCCGAGCACGGAGGCCGCCGGGGCAGCGGCCGGGCGTTCGGGCATTGGGCTGCTTCCCCTCTTCGGGCAAGGGAGAAACGGTAAGCGAGGAACCAACCCCAAGGGGCTGGGCTGCGGGCAAAGAGCTCAAAATAGAGCAGGAGCCCAGCTCCTCCTGCGGAGGACGGGTTCTAACCCCACGCCCTGAGGCAACGACTTCTGAGTCGGCCAACACACCTTTCCCAAGAGCTCCTCAAATTCCGGCGACCATTCCTGCATCAGGGTCTCGATGTCGGGCATTGGCCTGCCGGGGCAGAGAAGAACAGAAGCCGCAGGAGCACGCCCGGCTGAAGCGGCTTCCTACTGCCAGACTGCTGTGAAGGGGACAGCCGCCGTTCCAACCCACGGAGAGCAAGCTGCACGTCCGCCGAGGGTCTCTTTTTATTTACCCAAACAAGCCTAACCTTGCTAAATTGCCAGTTCTGCGTGCTAGCTGTTAAACCCATTCAAGGCATGAAGGGAAAGAGAAGCGCAGAGAGGGAAACGGAGCGTCCTGCACAGTAGGACTACCCTGAAAAGCAGCTCGTCTTCTCCCTCTCAGAGAGATCCTGACAGTTTCACTCAGCTTTGGTGCCCACGGAGCTGAGCTGGCGCCGGACGAGCGTGCGCGAAGGAGAGCGCATGTAACAGCTCACCTGCTGTAATGGACCGTGGCAGGAGGTTTGCAGCGGTGCAGCTCGCTGATGCTTTCAATCCAGTTGCCAATGGCTTTGGGGTTCTTCTCTGCATTCTCCAAACTCTTCACTTTTATCTGCTGCTACGAAGAAAGACATAAAGCCGGAGGCATTTTCTGCTGTTTGGGGGCTTTTTGGCGAACCCTGTGTTTGCTCCTGATTGCCCGTGCACGTTCTCTTCCCTAGCTGAACTATACCAACTGATGTCTGCAGAAAGCACAGCAGCTGGCGAACCAAACGCTGAGCAAAACCAGGCCGTGACAACCAAAAGGGAAAAAAAGTGTCGCCTGGAGGAAACGGATCCAAAGTCCACGGTACCCAGACTTGCCCAAAGCAAGGCTTGGACCCCTCGCAGTTTAAAGCTACGGGTTACAGGAAAAGGTTCGTTCCTTATGCTTTTCAAGCCAAGTTACCAACTGTGCTGCAACTCTGTAGTCACAGAGAGAGAAGCAAGAGTAAAACGCAATGCTTTTGCTAAGCCGGTGCGACCTCCCTCTCCCTGACTCACTGTGATGTTGTGCTGCTTGGAGTTCTCTGTCAGCCAAAGAGAGAGCACGGTGGGGTCCGACTGCTTGGTCGACGGCTCGTCCAGCACCAGCAGGCCGAGGTTATCGGGCTTGCCATCGGGGCGGGGAACCTGCAGGCAACCAGAGACCCTGTCTTCTGCGGGCGGCCAGAGCGGGGGAAGTTGGGGCTACTTGGTAGGGAGCCTCCCCGCGGTTTAAAAATCAGACCCCAGAAGGAACTGGTGGGCGTGTTCTCACGAGTACAGGGCGACCTGAAAAGCACGAGGTTGTCGGCTGAGGGAAAACACAGCCCTTGCTCCAAACAACCTCTGTGCTGTTTGAGAGGCGACGGAGCCACCCAGGGCAGTTTCCCCGGTCTCCTGGACGTTCTCTCTGGCAGCGCAGGGCCAGGGCACGCGGGGCTGTGGGACGGCCCGGCCACCCCGGGGCTGTTCAGCCCCGCTGCCCCCCCTCACACCGATGCGTGTTCTGGTCTGGCTCGCGCGGCAGGGCATGCGAAGGAACCTCGAGGCAACTCTACCTTCAGGAACGCATCGATGTCTCCCACTGCAGGAATAAAGTCTGGAATGAAAGGCTGCAGCTTGTGTTCGATCTCTATTGCTTTGGGAGTGTACCTGGAAAAAACCCCACGCCCCAGAGCGGGTGACTCCAAACTGTCCTGCGAAACTTGCCAGGCTAACTGACACAAGGGAGACCTGGGATGCGGCTAAAACTTCCACCCACCTCTTGATGTACTCAAAGAGTTCTTTGATTTCAGAAGATACCGGCAGGTAGTCATAATCGGCTAGATTGAAGTCGCTAAAGAAAGGAAGAGATACTTGGGCAGAGATTAACGTGGCTCTGCACAAGCAGGAACAGGGACCCAGCTGCGCGAGACACCGGCGAAGGCAGCCGAAATGCCAGGTACTAAGTCCCCTGTTAAAAAGACTTCTCGCACAGGAAAAACACTACCGGGCTCTGTTTCGCCTGGGGCCCCCTAGCCAAAAAAAGCACTTGAGGGACGGACAGTTCCTTGGGATCAGAAAGACTTGTAGCGGGGATGTCAACAGGCGGGTAAGCGCGCGGCACAACGGCAGGGCTGGGATGGCAGCTCGGCCGTTTAGTAACGGACTTGGAGTTGAAAAAGGTGGAAAAGGAGAAGGAGTAGCAGGAGAGGAACGACGCGTGTGCGGCGTCCTCTCTCCTTCTCAGCCCTCCGCTGCCAGCTCGGGGCTGGGGCTGAGACGGGGGCTGGCTGACACCACGGGTTGCTCCCAGCTCCCCCGGGAACAGCCCAGCAGGGCACGGGGCTGCCCGAGGTGCTGCCCGGGGTGCCTGCCGTTGGGCACGCCGAGGAACCCCTTTTTCCTGAGCGCGAGGAGGAGGGGGCTGCCTGTTCTGGGGGCGCGGGGCCCCCGCAGCGGAGCCCCGAGGGCCCGTGCGGCACCCGCTCGGCACCGTGGCCGGGCTCCCGGGGCTGGCAGCACCGCTCACCCCTCCAGCGCGGCCTCCTGCTCCTCCGAGTCGTCGTCCTCCGAGTCGCTCTCCGAGGAACCCGAGTCCTCCGAGTCCTCCGAGTCCTCGTCGTCCTCGCTGAGGGCGGCGGCGGGGGCCGAGCGGGCCGCCGGCTTCTCCTGGGCGAGCGGGACCGCGCCCCGCCGGGCCGGCCCCGCGCCTACCTTCCCCCCGCCGCCCTCCTTCTCCTTCTCCTCCTCCTCCTCCTCCTCCTCCTCGCTGCTGCGATCGGCCGCGCCGCCGCTAGACCCGGGCAGCCCCGGCCGACGGGAGCCGCGGGGCCGGGCCGCGGCCGGCCTCCCCGCCGCCTCCCCCGCTTCCTCGGTCTCCGGCAGGTCCAGGCTCTCGTCGTACGGCTGGTTCTCGACCAGGCGGGTCTAAGGCAGAGAGGCGCTGTGAGCGGAGGGTGCCGGCCGGGCGCCGGCCTTCCTCCCCGCCTCGCCGCCCTCACCTCCAGCGCCCGCCGCGCCGCCATGCCGCCCCGCCGCGCCGCCGTCGCCATGGCGACCCGCCCGGCTAGAGCGGCCCGGCCCGCCGGGGCGGCCCCTGGCGGCGAGGAGGAGGGCTGGCGGCCGCCGCCCCGCCTCGCCCCGCCCCTCCCCGCGCGCCGTGCGTGACGGCGCTTCCGGCTGGGGACGTGGCTCGGCGCCGCCATCTTGTGGGGCTGCCCGCGGGGACGCGGAGCGCGGAGGGACCGAGCGCCCGGCCCAGCGCCGCCGCCGCCGCCGCCGCCGCCATGGTAAGGGCCGGCTCGCCGCCCGCCTCGGCGGGGCTGGGCGGCGGCGCCGGGGCCGGCCCCGCCGCCTGTCCCCGGCCCCTCGGCCCGCCGCCCGCCCAGGCCCGGGCGCGGGCCTCCGTGTGCCGGGCGCTGGGGCAGGTTCGTCAGCCGCCCGGAGAGCTGGGCCTGGCGGCCGGGCAGCCCTCGGGGGGTCCCCGCCCGCCTCCGGGGCGAGCGGGGCAGCGCTTGCGGAGCCGCGGCGCCTCCTCCGCCGCAGGGCCGGTGGCCGCGGGCCGCGCTGCGCCCGCAGTAGAGGTCGCTCGGGGGGTGCAGGGAGACGCGGGGGACGGCCAGCTGCTGCCGCGGCGGTGGGGAGTTGCGAGGTGTCCCCCTCCGAGCCACCCCTGCGCCTTGTTGCCGGTCGCCAGCATCGCCAGACGGCGGCGTGGGCCAGCAAAGGCTGGAAGAGCAGAGCTGCGTGCTCGAGGCGCAGCGGGGATCCTCGGTGCCGCCCGGTGCACCGTGCTCTGAGTGCTTTTGGGGAGGGCTTACGGAGAGCGAGTGTGTATTCCTGACCTGGGAGGACTTGAGCGTGTACGCTTGTCTCCGAGCTGTCCAGGCGCAGGGCCCCTGGGCGGCCCCGAAAGAGCCTGGCACTCCTGTCGAGGCACACACGGAGCGCTGTCAACCTGGGGCTGAGGCGGGACCTGAAACCGCTCTGTGTTTGAGAGCGTCTGGTACTTGCCTGTGAATAACAGAGGCTGGGGATTGAGCAGATCTTAAGTGGAGGAACGGCCTCATTCAGACACAGTTAATTAAGAAGCTGATCCACGAGAGCGAAACGCCAGGAGGAAGTCTTGGCACTCTGGGAGGGTGAGAAAACGTAGGCTGGCAATTGCCTTGCTACCTTTTTATTGTCGGTGCGATAACATCTCTGAAATGCCCAGGAGAGTCGTCCGTGGGCTGTGAGGAATAGAGCTGCCGATATATTACTAGCCTGGCTTTACTGTAAATGTGGCATGGGGAAGAAGTGTCACATTTTACAACATTCCTGCGTTCGGTTGTGACCCGGCGCCAGGCTGACAGAAAACTCGATCGCCTAGAGCCTCGCTGAGAACGTTTGGGCGGGTGGGTTGTAACAGCCCTGCGTGTGCAGGAACGGGCTGATCCGCCACGTTCGGCTGACGGGAGCGCTGGGAGCTCTCGTTCAGATCGCACGGGAACAGAAAGGGGGCTGGAGAGAGAAAAGCAGAGGTGGCTCTGCTCTTCGTGTCATTCCGGTCCTGCTGCTGGTCACAGGAAAAGGCTTGAAGTCCCGTTTAAGGAAAATGGACCGTGGGGTACGTGTGGAGGTGAAACACAGTTGGAAGTGATCCTTTCTGTGAGCGAGTCGTGTCGCGCCGGGCTCGCCGGGGCTGCGCGGTGCGCGAGGCCCGGCTAGGCAGCGCTCGCCCTCTCCGCAGGTGCTGTTGGCAGCAGCCGTCTGCACAAAGGCGGGGAAGGCCATTGTCTCCCGGCAGTTCGTGGAGATGACGCGGACCCGCATCGAGGGGCTGCTGGCGGCTTTCCCGAAGCTGATGAACACAGGGAAGCAGCACACTTTTGTGGAAACGGAGAGCGTGCGGTACGTCTATCAGCCGATGGAGAAGCTCTACATGGTGCTGATCACCACCAAGAACAGCAACATCCTGGAAGACCTCGAAACACTCCGACTCTTCTCTAGAGTGGTAAGGATCTGTCGCTGAGTGCAGCCCTTGTGAGGGAACCTGGTGGCGAGCTGGCGCTGACGTGCTGACTGCCTCCACCCGGCAGCCTGACTTCCCAGAGGCTCTTCCCGACCTGGAAGGAAGCCTTACAGTTTCCGTGGTATTTTTGAACTGCCCGTTAAAACGTCCTCGCTTGCAGTTCAGCTGGGGGGGAGACCAAAGGGACGATTGTAACTTCAGCATTACGTGTTCTCTGTGTTCTTAAGGTAGCGCCCCTATTCCTTCTAAAACCAGCGTGACAGTGCAGCGTGTCAGTGTTAGAAGCACAGCAGTTTCTCAGAGTACATGCGTTTCTCACTTGTGAGTTTGTGCAGCCGTCTTCGTGCAACCAAAGGATCTTCAGGAAACTCACCGGCCTCGGTTTGCGTTTTTTAGGTTCCTCTGAGTTAGTGTTACAACTCAGCTAGGAGGCTGTCTGTGTGTTTTGGTGTAGAGGAGCTAATAGCAGCAACGCTTCATCTGGTTGGTTTTCCACAAGTTGATAACAGTGTAAAGTTCTGAAGAGCAGCTTCACGGGGCGGCACGGGTCTTCTGGAGGGTCTGGCACAGCTGCGGTCTGGGGACAGTAGAAAGGAAGCGTTTACACGGTATTGTCTCCGGATGCTCCTTTAAAGTGTTTTCCCCCAACTAGATCCCTGAATATTGCCGAGCCCTGGAGGAGAATGAGATCTCTGAACACTGCTTCGACCTGATCTTTGCCTTTGATGAAATCGTTGCCCTGGGCTACCGTGAGAATGTAAATCTGGCACAGATTCGGACCTTCACGGAGATGGACTCACATGAAGAAAAGGTGTTCCGAGCAGTCCGAGAGGTGAGCGGGAATAACCGCGGGCCGGGTACGAGGTCCCCTGTCCGGGGAACGCGGGTTTTCTTATCCGGAAGGGTTACTCCACTTGGATGGGGGTCGCAAAATTATTTAGTTTCTCCGTGGACGAAATGCCCCTCTTCGGTTTCCTTTTCCTTCGCGAAGGGTTTATGGGCCGATGCGCTTAGTTCCAGTGCAGAACAAGGTTGAGATTGCAAAGCTTTATCAGCCTTTTCTCTTTCGCTTCAGACTCAGGAACGCGAGGCGAAAGCTGAGATGCGCCGCAAAGCGAAGGAATTGCAGCAGGCTAGGAGGGACGCGGAGAGACAAGGCAAAAAGGCACCCGGTTTCGGTGGCTTTGGTAGCTCGGCCGTGTCTGGGGGCACAACGGCAGCAATGATCACGGAGACCATCATTGAGACGGAGAAGCCCAAAGTGGCACCAGCGCCTGCCAGGTGGGTGTGTACGGCAGGGAGCGTGCGTGCCTCGGGGCCGGTCGTGGCTGAACCCGCATGCCCAGCTCCCGGCGCTCGAGCACGGGTTCTTGGTCTGCGCGGCCCTCCCGTTCGTTTACCGTGCAGGTTAGACGTTCTCACGCCACTGTAAAGCTTCCCCCAAGCTTGCCCAATCTGCCTGTGTTGGCTCCAGGCCTTTAATGTGGCAGCTCGTGAGCTGGTGTATGCTGCGTATTCTCGAGAGCCGCCTTGTTTTATTGTTGAGGAGCGTCTGTGCCGTGTACCACAGTAGCACATCCCGCAGTCTCTGGAGTCTTTGCTGAGCCACGGGCTTCTCATTTTGAATGAGAAAAAAGGGTCCGAGCTACTGGCGATACCCGGAACAGAATCCAGATTGAAATTTTAACTTGGCACCCTACGTGTAAGGTCGTTGGTTCCGTGCGTGTTCTCCCCCCAGAAAGGCTGCAGAGGTGAAGGTGGTCAAGTTCCGACACTTGAGGATAACTGAGGGAGGTAGGGATCTGTTGTCACGAGCTGACGCGGAGACCCTCCTGCCTTTTGTTTAGGCCTTCAGGTCCCAGTAAAGCCCTGAAACTTGGCGCTAAGGGGAAGGAGGTGGACAACTTCGTGGACAAGCTGAAATCGGAAGGAGAAAATATCATGACCTCTGTCGGCAAACGCTCTACGGAAGCAGCCAAAGTTCTCGCTCCTCCTGTTAACATGGAGAGGTAGGTATTGCCCTGGCCTTGAGAGCAGTCCCGCCGCCGCGCTCCCTGCAGTGCATGTGTTCCTTCGGGAGCTAGCTTCCCTTTTTGGGAGAAGTGGCTTTTTGCTGCTCTTCAGGTCCCGTGTGCTCACTTGGCCTGCTCGCTTTAAAAGCTGGCGGGCAAAGTCTTGGAAAGCTCAGCAGCAAAAAAAAGCAGATGGCTAGTTCGATTAGGAATCGCCTTAACTAACGTAGGACATACATCCGTTCTTCTGCTGAAGTCGGGAATTTTCCAGTGCCTTTTCCCCTTCAAATAGCTGCTGGTTTCTGTGTTTCCCGGACACAGAGGCTTCCTGCCTTCCTGCAGCTTAGTCTGGAGACGGTCGTGGTTCATTTTACACGTAGCGAGCGAGAAGCTTTCGGTGCCGTGAGCCAGGCTGCTGTACGGCAGAGGGGTTGTGAGTGAACAGCGTGGCGAGGTGCTGTGTCGTTGCTGCTTATCGGGGCAGCCATCCGGTGCGGACTGTCCTCTGTGGAGCCGCCTGTCCCCAGGTTAACCTGTCGGAGCAGCGTTAGCATCTGCCGGGCCGTTGGCCCTGTTCCCTTCAGGGCCATCACGCTCCTGAGCACACCGGCCCGTTACACGTAGCCTGTCCTTGCCGAGCGCTAATCTCTCCTCTTGCCTGTTAGATGCCAGGTGCGGAACCTGATACCCCTGCTCTTTTTCTCTCTGTCTAGCGTGCACATGAAAATAGAGGAGAAAATTTCCTTGACTTGTGGCCGTGATGGAGGGTTGCAGAACATGGAGCTGCATGGCATGATCATGCTGCACATTTCCGATGAAAAGTTTGCACGGATTCGCCTGCATGTTGAAAATGAAGACAAGAGGGGAGTGCAGCTACAGGTAAGGCCTGTTTGGTGTCTCGTGCTGTTTTGAACGTGCTTTTGCTGCTCTCCGGGGCAAAATATTGGCAATAACTCAAGAGGGTTACTGTGTCCCGTGTTCTTGTTCAGGCCTTCTTGGCGAACGCCTTGAAAATGGGAGTAGTCACCGCAGACACTCCCGCAGCATAAATGCGGGGCCAGCTCACGCTCAAGAGGTTGAAGTGCGCTTGAGAAATCCCATCTCGTGCACTTACCTTCCTGCCCTCGGAGCCTTATCTGTCCGGCAGTGCATGTTGGCATGCTGTCTGATCTCACCTGGATTTTGCAGCAGCCTGCTCTGTTGCTCGGTGCTTGTTTATACGACGCGAGCTTCAGTTGCCGAGTGGGAGTGTTAGAGTAAACTCACTGTGCCAGTGAGGAATTAATTAGTAATCTAGGAAGCCGTTTCTTCTTGGGCTCGCTTGTGTCCTGCTTGTGTGGCTGCTGTGTCTGCAATGATTGCTGGAGCCCTTGATTGCAGTCGGCGATAGCAGCTCAGGAGATTCTTAAGAGATACGTCCTCCCCTTTCTCCCTCTTCGCTCGTGCGGCCTTACGGATCCTGGAGATTGTGCTGCTTTGATACGCTCCTTTGCTCCCTCCTCCTCCTCGTCAGGAGCTCCTCTGTGCGTAGCTGGCTGCAGGTCTGCTTCTGCAGTAGTAGGTTCCTTATCAGCGCATCTCATGAGCGAGTTCCTACCAGTGTTCCCACGCGTGGCGCTTCCGGTGGAAGACGAGATCAAACCCGGTGCTGACTCTTGTCTTCCCAGTGTAACTTGGAACATTGACTTGCAAAAATCCTCTGCCGCCTAAGCGCTGCTTGTGCTCGCTGTTGTGAAGAGAGAATATGTAAATGGAGTTTGCCGGCTGACATACATATGTGCGTTGAGGCTGCTGAGGGAGGTAGCATTTCTGTGGCTTCAGGGCGCTCTTCTGGCAGCATCAGGTTGCCTTTTCCTAAAGAGGAAACGTCCATCGTGGGTCTTCAGGGTGGTCTCAGAGTTGTCAAAGTTGTTCCGTAGGTATCGGCCCAGGACACGCGTTGCCAGAGCCTCTGGCGCGCCGGCAGCGGTGCGGATTCCTCTTAGCAGGGCGGCATTGTCAGGGTGATGGGCAGGTGGGCTCCGGTTGGGCTTCTCAGCAAGGAGCAAAACCGAAGCGTGTTTTGGCAAGGGAAATGCTCTGGGATGCGTAGGCCTGTCTTAGTCGAACCCGCATTACCTACGTACGGTTCTCTCCTCAGGCTCAGAGTTACAGCCTGGGCATATGTTCCCCTTGCAGACTCACCCCAATGTGGACAAGAAGCTCTTCACTGCAGAGTCGCAGATTGGCTTGAAGAACCCCGAGAAGTCATTCCCTATTAACAGCGACGTGGGTGTGCTGAAGTGGAGGTTGCAGACCACAGAAGAGTCCTTCATTCCACTGACAAGTGAGTGCGAGCGTGCGTCTCGGGGTTCGGGCAGAAGAGGCGGCTGTTCGTCCGTGGGCTGCTGGCTTGTAGCAGCCGGGCTGGCTCTGGAGCGGGGCAGCTGGTCAGGTGTTGGAGATCCTGTGTGTCTTCCCGCGGTTCGTACCCGTTCTCAGCGGTGGGCGTTTCCTGCCACGTTCGTGAAGAAAACAAAAGGCTTTTCGTAAAGTCGGAATGCCGTGGGGATGACTTCGCGTTCAAAGCGCGGCATCTTTGGGAAGCCCGTCCTGCGTAGAAAGCCCGCGTGGTTTAGCGTGCTGTTTCTGTGCCCCCCAGTTAACTGCTGGCCGTCAGAAAGCGGGAACAGCTGCGATGTTAACATTGAATACGAGTTGCAAGAGGAGAGCCTAGAGCTGAACGACGTGATCATCACCATCCCCTTGCCGTAAGGAACGCTCCTTGACCGGGCAGCGCTAGCACGTCGCGTCCTGGATCCCATCGGTTCCTTCCCCTCCGGTTTGCCGCTCTGGCCGAGGCGACGGGCTGGGCAGGCGTTTCCTTAGCTCCGTGCAGGTAAAGTATTACAGCTTCTCGTTGCCTGCTCTAGGTCTGGTGTCGGCGCCCCGGTGATCGGGGAGATCGATGGCGAGTATCGCCACGACAGCCGAAGGAATCTCCTCGAGTGGTGCCTGCCAGTGATAGATGCCAAAAACAAGAGCGGCAGCCTGGAGTTCAGCATAGCAGGGCAGCCGAACGACTTCTTCCCAGTGCAAGTCTCCTTCGTCTCCAAAAAGAATTACTGCAACATACAGGTATGGTCGCTGCCGGCGCGCGGCAGGCGTGGCGTCGCTCTTGCCTCTCGCGAGCTGCCTCAGTCATCCGCTGGCTGGAGATGGCCGTGCTGTGGTGCGTGGGCCCCGCCGTCCCGCGCAGCGGGGGCTGAGGCGCCGGCGTTGGGTTGCCTCCGTGTTCGCTGGATTCGGGAGTGCCGGCGGACAGCCCTGGTCACTTCAGCTTCCCACCGCTTGCCTGCGGTTTCGGTTGTGCCTGCGTGCCTGAGTAATCGTTAATTCTCCTCAGACTTCGTTAGAGAGCCCATCGGCCTTCCGGGCCAAAACACTTGGCGGCATATGACTGTCTGTCTGTCCCCACTGAACTGTAGCTGGCGACTGCCGCTTAACTCCTCGCGGGCCGCTGTCAGCAGACGCACGGTTACCGCAGGAAACCACTCCCCTCTTTTCAGGTTTCCTGGGAACAAAGATCGTTCTTTCGGGGCTGACTTGGCGTTCGAAAGCACTGGGTTGGTCCTGTCCTCATGACCGTCCCGGCGCCAGAAAGCGCTGCTGAGCTGTGGTGGGGAGCGGCGTTCGAGGCCGAGCTAACTCTGCCTGTTGTCTCCGCAGGTTACCAAAGTGACCCAGGTAGACGGGAACAGCCCTGTAAGGTTTTCTACTGAAACCACCTTCCTGGTGGACAAATACGAAATCCTGTAATGCCAGCTGTGGAAAATCACAAAGGAAGAGATTTTTAAATTTAAAAAAAAAAAAAAAAAAAAAAAAAAAAAAGAGAGAGAGGCCGAAGTTTCTTCTGAATGTTGGGAACGCCGCAGCCCCCCTTTCTGCTAAGACGTGTGGCTCTGTGTGCAGCATTCCGGGGTCACAGACATTTTTGGCAGAGAATTGACATGCTCGTGGGGGAAAGGCCACAAATTTTTTTGGCAGACTTTTACCGGCCGGCAGAAAAAAACCGAGATCTCCGCAGAGAACCTGGCTTTGACATGTCCCCTTCTCCCCTGAAGACGACCGGAGCTCAGTCCCAGAGCCTACCAGACACGGTTCGCTTCCTTTCTGAAGCGTCACATGCTGTTCCGTTCTTGGTGCTGCCCTTTGAATCTCTCCTCTGCCTTCAAGTCTCGTTGCTGTAGAAGAAAGCGGGCGCTAAGATAACGTGTGCGGGGGGCACCTTGCTTCTCTGGACCCTTCCGTCTGGTAGAGATGGAGCAAGGTGGCCTGGGTTCCAAAGGCGGGGAGGGCCCGGGGCGGGACAGGGACTCAGGGCTTGGGTCCTCTTGCCCCACACGGCCGCTGCCTTCTCCAGCCCCGGGGTACAGCGGTGGCCTGGGCTCGCCTCTGCGGCTCGGAGAGGGCTGCGGGGCAGCACCGGCTGCGGCTCCGGGTGCTGGGGCTGCTGCTGCTGCTGAAGGGGGGAGAGGGTCCCAAGGGACTGTCCCACACCCCGGCCCGCTGTCTGCTGCAGCTGCTCTTGGGCCGGGCTTTGGAGGCGCTTCCATTAGGTTAGAACCAGCTGTGTGTCCTTGTTGGGGCCCTTTCAGTGTCTTGGGAGCATGAAGGCTGGGCCTGCCTCCTGTGAGCGGCCGTGGAGGCTGGCTTACTCGGCCTGTTTGTCAGGACCTGGCCTCAACGCGCGCTCTTTCTCAGTGCTTGCGGGTGGAGGAGGAGGAGGAAATGCTGGCGTTCAGAACGCAGAGGGGCTGATCCGAGTCCGAGCAGCACCCCAGGGTGGTATCTGCAGCCCCAGAGCCGTCCCTGCTCCTGCCGCCTCGCAGGCAATGTTTGCCTCATCTCACATGTCTGTGCTCCCCTCAACTCATCTCACCTGCCCGAGTCGGGGCCCTGCGGTGGCTCAAAGCTCCCCTGGCCGCCAGCGAGCGCTGGGGGGGAGCTCACCCGCTGCAGCCGTAGGACCCGAGCACGCGGACGGAAAGCAAATCCCCTAAAAGCACGTGTGCTGTGCTCCCAAGAGCGCCTGGCGTAGAGTGTCTCTGTTCCCCTGGGGCCTTCTGCCAAAGAAGTTCGTGGTCTCTCCTCCGTCAGCGGCTCCCGAGAGAAAATCAGCCCTCCCCCGTGTCCCGGGAGGGCGGGAGAGCAACCCTGGTCCCTAGCGAAGTAGGCGACGAACCCCGTTAACTCGGTCCTGTGCCAGAGTGGCTTGTCTGTATGATTTTAAAATGGAGTCGAGGTTAGTTTGAGCATCGCGGGGGCTTTGTTTTGGGTTTTGTTTGTTTGTTTTGTTTTTTTTTTCCCTTAAATTCGTTGGAGGGTAATATTTAAACCGAGCTGAGATTTCCACCCCCCCCATCCCTTTTTGTAACCCTGTACGATACTGGCCTAGGGAATAGAGCACATTCCAGTGTACACAGAGAATACCAAGTCTTTAATCAAATAAAGAGTATTGTCAAAGGAGCCGCCTGAGGGTCGTGGGGTCCTGCGGGAGAGGGGCCGGCGGGCGGAGCAGCCTCGGGCCGGGCCGGGCCCGTCCCCCCGCCCCTCCGGGCGCCGCGGGGCGGGACGGGGCCGGCACCGGGGCGGAGCGGCGAGCGGCGGGCAGCGGAGCGGCGGCGACCGGGACGGGGCTGCGGGAGCGGCGGCGCGGAGGTGAGCGGGGCCGGGGCCCGGGGCGGGGGCTGGGACGGCCGGGCAGCCCCTGCCCGCGGGCAGCGCGTGGGCTCGGGGTGGCCTCACCCACCGGGACCCCCCACCACCACCCGCAGCCGGGAGCGGCTCGGGGGCAGGCGCGGGGAAGGGGCGCCGGGGGACCCTCCGGGGTGCGGGGTCCCTGCCCGCGGCGCGGCCGAGGAGGAGGCGGCGGTGGGAGAGCAGGAAAACCCGCTTCGGCCCTCAACCCCGCCGTTGCACAACGCCCCGGGGGTGCGTGGGTGGGCCGGAGCCGGTGGTCCACGTCAGTGGCGAGTTTGCTGGCGTGGGAGCCCTGAGAGCCGCGGGAGGCCGGGCGAGGCTCTCCCGTCCCCAAATCCGGTTGCGGGGGGGGAGCGGGCGCTTGGCCCGATCTGCCCCCGCTGCCTCTCGGGGGGCCTGGGAACGGCGCTGGCCTGGCCGGACCCCGCTCCGCGGCGGGACCTTGTTTACTCCCAATTTCCTGACACGCTCTCGCCACGGCCCCTTTGGCCGCTGCCAGAAAGCCAGAGGAATTTGGCAGCCCCAGAAGGGATCCAGCTGCTGTGCCGAAGGGCCGCCGGCTCTCCCGGCCCTCCCAGGGCACCGGGCAGGGGCTGCAGCGGGGCAGCCCCCCCGGCTGAGAGCCGCAGGCAGCAGCAGGGCAGCGCTGCCCGGGCGCTTTTTCGGCCACTGCTTGTACGTCTGGGTTTGCCGCGCGGGGCCGTGTGCTGGCGGGCGCAGGGCTGCAGCGGGCAGGGCGATGGGGCCGCGGGTTTGCGGGACGGGGCGGCACTTGCTGATGTTAGAAAGGAGAGAGCGATGTTTGTTCCGGAGAGGTGAGGTTCACCCCTGCCCCTCTCCCATACAACGCAGCACTGGGTGGTGGCTTCGTGCCAGGGACCGGATCCGGGACCCACCAAACCCACCTCGTGCCACGGTCCCTAAGTTGGGGTTAGCTGGAGCTGCAGGTGCTCCGAGCCGAGCTGAGCACCTGGCCTGCAGATGAGAAACCAGCGTTCGCTACGAGAGGGCTGTGAGGAATACGTCTTCATCATGCAGCCTTGCGAGAGGTCCTGGAGCTCAGTGGTTTCCCTGTCTGTGCTGACGCTGGGCTCGGTGCCTGAGCTCCGGCAGCAATCAGGACCGTGTAGAGTGTCACCGGCCCTCGGAGCTGGCTCGTCCCGGGGAGCATCGGGCGCGGGCAAGCTGGGCGGCGTGCCCTCCCCGACACGAGCACGCGGTGGGCATCCCCGAGGTGCGATGCCGGCAGGGCCACGGGCTCAGCCGGAGCGCAGCTGTGCCGCGGCAGTGCGGGAGCGCTTCCCGCGAGCGCTGAGATCAGCGGGCGCGGCCGGGATTCCTCGGCTCCCGCCGGAGCTGTCTGGCAGCTGATTTACGGTGATGTTATTGCCAGCAGCGTTGCGTCGTCCCGGCAACCGTGGCGCGGACCCCGCCGTCCCCTCGCCTGGGTGGGATGGGGCCGGCTGGGTCTCCCCTCCTCGGCGTGGGGGACAGCGGCCGGGCGCAGGCTCCTCGCACCCCTCTGGCTTTGTGCCGGAGGTGGGCCCTCCTTTCCCAGCTGCCAGCGGAAGGGCTGGTTGTTTACCAGGGCGGACGGTGCGGGAAGGGGTAAGCGCACCCTGAGCGCATTAGCAGATGGGGAGCAAGCAGGCAGCCAAGTTGGATAGAGGCTGCGATGCTGCGTGGGGCGCGTCCGTGAGCTCGGCCGCTCCGGCTTCCTCCCGTGGCTCACCGGGCCACGGGCAGGGAGGAAAAGCCGTGCCGGGGGATGCCGTGCGCCTGCCCCTCGCACGCTGCATCCCGGGCACGGCTGGCACCGTGGGGCAGCTTGTGCCATGCTGTGCTCCGGTGCATCGGCACGGCCCTTTGCAGGCCTGGGCTGGCTGTCTGTGCCCTCATTGTGCCCTGGTCAGCGGCACACAGTGTGGCTCCGGGGTCTGCCCACCAGCTGCCGTCACCCGGCCACGGCGGTGGGGTGCGAGGCAGATCGTGCTGTGCCCGGGCTGAGTCTCGGTGGGCAGCGACCGGTCGGGCAGGAGCGGATCCCCCGAATGCCCCTGCTCGTGTGGGCCGGGCCCGGGACGGGCAGGCAGGTCGCAGCCGGCGGGGTTTAGGGATGCTCCGGGGGTGTGGTGGTGATGGGGCGACGTGTCGGCGGGGGGCCCCGCGTTGGCGGGGCTGGGCGTCCTCCCAGGTGAGGCCTCTGCCTGCGCAGGGAGAAGAAAGAGGCTTTTGTCCTCCGGGAGGCTGGGGCTGAGCGGGCAGCCCTGCGCGCGGGGGGCACGGGGGCCGTGGGCTGTTTGGCGGTAACCGAGCCCGACCCCTTGGCATTTGCTGCCTTCGCCGCTTCCCACGGCGGGAACAAGCGGCGCGTTCTGCAAGCGGCGGCGGGAGAAGAAAGGCCGCCTTGTCCGCCCCAGCGGTGGGGCGCCGGCCGGGGCGGCCACGCTCCCACCCCGCATTCCTACAGCAGAGCCAGCTGGAGAGGGGCTGCACCCCGCGAAGGACGGGCTGGGGGGACGGCAGGCGTCTCCTGCGCGGTGAGGAGCCAGGTGAGGGGCTCTGGCGGAGGGCGAGGCTGGGGGCCGGGGGCCATCAGCCGGCAGGGTGGGCGTCGGGGAGCAGCCGGATGCCACACACAACCGGCACAGGGGGAGGAGGCAGGGCTGCCTGCGGAGCAGGGGGAGCGAGTTTGGGCAGGGGGAAATGGGCAGGAACCAGGACAATGCCTCGGGCGGCAGGGTTGGGGGTCCCCCATGATGCTTACCCGGCCCCACCGACACAACTGTGCTGGGAAGGGGTTAACGCCAGCGCAGGATCCCACCCCGGCCCGCTCCCTTCCTATGTAGCAGCCCAGCCCCTCCTGGCTTTTCCTCCTTCTCAGACGTTCTGGCGGGGCCTGGGTGCAGTCGAGGGGCAGGGGCTCAGCCGGGCTGCAGGGTCTCCCGATGCTGGGAAGCGCAGCCCCCCCATTCCCAGGGGACATGGGCACCCTGCTGCGGAGCGTCCCGCTTGGTGCCCGGGCCAGGACCAGATGGCAGGTAAGGGAAAGCAAGGGTCCCGCCTCAGCAGCTGGTGGGCACCGGGGAGCTGCTCGCAGGGCACCATGTCTCTGCTTCCTCCTGCCCCAGCTGAGCCTTTCCCATCCCGCTGGGGCGGCCACGGTCCCCGCAGAGCCCTTGCTGTGGGGCAGCTGCGGTCCTTACAGAGCCCTCGCCGTGGAGCGACCAGCCCTTTTGTCGTGCGGAGCAGCCCGGGCTCTGTCCCAGCCCTGGATCCCACGCCTGGTGTTTTCCAGCGTTTCATTTTTTCCGCAGTGTGTAATAGCCACCCGCTCGCCCCCGCAGCTGAGCCCGGCACTGGCCAAGCCGGGGGGGTCCCTCGCCCTGCGGGACACTGGGGCTGGTGGGACAGCGGGCAATGCTGCAGGGAGGCGAGCCCGGGGCTCCTCCCAGTGCCCCCAGCTGCCTGGGGACCAGTGTCCCTAAGTGGGAGCGCTCCCTGGTTCGGCTGCCCCAGCTTCCCTGGGAAGGGTTAAGCTGCATTCAGTCAGGCGGAAGGGAGGGACGTGGGGAGCAGCAGATGGTAAATTTAGTAACCCCGGAGCATCCCGGGCCGAAACGGTGGCGTGAGTGCCGGGTGACGGAAATCGTTCCTCCCCACGCTGCGTCGTGCCCATGCAGTGAGCGGCGGCGGGTGGCTGCTCCCGTGGGCAGCAGCCGTGGGCGCGTGTCCCCGCCAGGCAGGGTGCAGGCAGGGGTGCGGTGCGCCTGGTTGGGCTGGTGCACCCCGAGGCGCTGCTGGGAGCAAAAGTGTGTGCCTAGGTGCCGGGGGTGGCCGTTCGTGGCATGCGTGGATGTGCTGGGGCGTGCTGCGAGCCATGCACGGGCAGGCGGATGTTGCTGGGGACAGCTGGATATTGTGCACACGTGTCCTTGTCCCCCAGAACCCGTCAGGATCTGGCTGCCCCGCCGCTCTCGGGGTTTGGGGTGTGCATTTCCTGCCCCGCCTCCCCAAAGCCGAGCCAGCGTGCCGGCTCCTTCTGGTGCCGTGTCACATCCTGACAGGGATGTTCACCAGCTTCAGGCAGCTGCTGCTGGGCTGGAGATGGGAGCTCCGGGGGGGAATCCTCTTGGTGGCAAACGCCGGGTTGGGGGGGGGTAGGGTTTGTGAGGCTTGCGCTCGGGCTGCCAGGCGTGCAGGCTGCTGGCGGGGATGAGCAGGAGGAACACAGCAGAGCCGTGCCCGGTGTGTGGTCTCCTGTGCCAACATCCTGTTTCTTATGGCAGCGGCCTGTGCCCGAGAGTGCCTGGCGTCTCCGAGCGGGCACCATGGAGGCATCCGGCAGGACCCCCGCCAGCCCGACCCGCAGAGTCCAGACCATCATCCAGGTGAGCACGCGGGGCTCCCAGGCCACTGGGAGCACGGGGAGCCATCCAGGAGCCCTTCTTCTCTGCGGTCAGCCCTACGACGGCCGGCTGGCGCTGCCCTCCAGCCTCTCCTCATCGCAATCCTATTATGGCATTGGCAGCAAAGCCGATTGATCTAAGTGGTCGGCAGCTCAGATCCTCTTAGAAGCAACCCAAGTCCCGGGGATCTTCTGCTCCCACGGCGGCTCACCTCTGCTCCCCAGGGCGGGCAGCACAGGCAGGAGGGAGCCCTCGGGTCCTGCTGCTGGCCTGTCCTGCCCGCACGTGGCTGACCCTGGGCATCGCTCCCTGCCTGCACGCGCGGCCGTTTCGGCGCACGGGCAGGCGGGCAGCGCTGCGAAGCGGGCCGCAGCCGTGGGAGCTGTGAGCATCCCTCCCTCTCCTCCTGCAGAACAGCCCCCTGGACCTGATCGACACGGGCAAGGGGCTGAAGGTGCAGACAGAGAAGCCGCACTTGGTGAGCCTGGGCAGCGGCCGGCTCAGCACCGCCATCACGCTCCTGCCGCTGGAGGAAGGTGAGTGCCAGCTGCCGAAGGGTCCCCGCAGGCACGCCGGCGGCGGGGACGCTGAGCCACCCTCTCTGCCATCAGGGAGGACCACCATCGGCACGGCCGCGAGGGACATCGTCCTGCAGGGCCCCGGCCTGGCGCCCCAGCACTGCTACATCGAGAACGTGCGGGGGACGCTCACCCTGCACCCCTGCGGCAACGCCTGCGCCATCGACGGCGTGCCGCTGCGGCGGCCCACGCGCCTCACCCAAGGTAGGGACGGTCCGATCTCCTCCGGAGCGGGACCCGGCGCGCACAGGCGGAGTTGTGCTGTCGGGTATCAGGGTGTTTGCAGATCCATGGCGCAACGGCACGTCCCAGCTGGGATGCTCCTGCCTCTAGGCCCGGGGGTGGGGACTCGCCGGGTGCTGGCACCGTTTGGGAGCCGGCTCGGGAGGGAGGGAGAAAGCAGCGCCTGCCAGACGGAGCCGGGCAGAGTTTGGTCCCCGCCGTGGCGTGCGAGACAATGGTAGGGATGCCGAGCCAGGTTTGGGAAGGGGAGGTGAAGGATGGAAACAACTCGGGTGTCCCGGCGCATCGCTGCCGGGGACCCGCCGGTGTCCTTGCGTGGCCGGAGGGGCTCGGACCCTGCGGTTCCCCCCCTCCCGGGGTAGCGGGGGCAGATCCGTGGGCCCCGTCACGCTTTCCGTCCCGGCCCCGGTCCCCGGGGAGGACCCTCCGGCGGGGCGGGGAGAGGCCGGGCCCCTCCCCGGGGGCGGTGCGCGGCGCTCCCGGGCGGTGGCGGCGGCGGCGCGGTGAGTGCGGCGTGGGGAGTTGGGGGGGAGGCCACGCGTGTCCTCGGCGGGGGGGGGGGGGGGGGGGGAGGAGGAGCGCTCCCCGTCCCTCCGGGGGGGGCAGAGCCCCTTTGTCCCACGCCGGGCGGCCGCGCTGCCGCCCCCCCCCCCCACCCTGCCCCGCTCCTTCCCCTGCCTCCGCCCCAGGAGGGGGGACCCCACCCGCGTGGGCGCTGCCGCGGGCGTCCCCGCGAGGGGACAATGGGAGCCGCGTGGCCGCCGAAGAAAGAGGACGACGGCTCAGGCGCGACGGACCGCGGGGCCCCGATGGGGCAGGGTGGTCTGCAGTGGGGTGCGGGGATCAGCTGAGCCCCCCCCCCACCTCCGGTTCTCCCGCCCGTGGGCCGCGGGCAGGGTCAGCGCTGGTGCCGGGACGCAGCGGGACGGGCCGTGGGGCGACGAGGCTGATGCTCGGGGCGTGGGGCTGGGGGGCACACGGTGCTCGGCCGGTGCGGCACATGGCTCTGCCAGCGCTCGCATGTGCGAAGGCGCAGGTCGGCGATGACCCGAGCCGAAGGAGCCGCTGCCGGGCCGGGCGCTGGCGTTGCCGCCTGGCAGCCGGGATGCTCTTGCTGAGCCGGGGTGCTGCCGCGGCTCCTCCCGGGGAGCAGGACGTTTTCCCTCCCCGGCGCCCGCACAAGAAGCCAGTCCCCCGCAGCGGCGATGGCGGATAATCCCTCTGGCCTCTTGCTCTCCTTGCTGGGAGCCCGGGCTGCCGGGCGCTCTGAAAACCACGTCCCCTCCGGCGAGGGATTTTTCAGCTGCGGCTGTCGGTGCGGAGCGAGCCTCTCCCCGGGGCCCTGGCAGGCGCTTCAAAGCGGGGTGTGTCTGCAGCACGGAGCCTTCCAGCTGCCCGCCGCTCCCCGCTGCCAGCGGGCCTGCCCCCGGCACGGCGGGCAGCCCCTTCCCGAGCCACCTTCCTCCCCGGCGGCCGCTCGGCAGCCTTCCCCCCGAGAGGGCTGCTGCTTCGGGCTGAGAAGAGGCGCTTTGCGGCTGGGGACAGGAGCTGTCTTGTCTGCAGCTGGCAGCCGCGCAGGCCCTGGCGTGCCGCCATCTCCCCCGCGGCAGCACGGCCCCCGGCGCGGACCCCAGCTGTGCCTGCGCCTGCGAGGACGCGCTGCCTGCAGCTGCCGGGGAGTGACCTGGATTTCAGCCTCCCCCTAAGCCTCAGCTGACGGCAGAAGCCCGCTCCCCTCCCAGGGACGCGGCGGAGGGCCGGGCAGCGCCCGGCTGCCTGCCCGCGCCGGCTCCCGCCTCCCCTCTCCCTGGCAGCGCTCCGGTGCGGCCGGCGCCTGAGCCCTCTCCCCTCTCCCCAGGGTGCACCATCTGCCTGGGCCAGGCCACCTTCCTCCGCTTCAACCATCCCGCCGAGGCCAAGTGGATGAAGAGCATGATCCCGGCGGGGAGCAGGAGCCCGGCGGCTCTCTACGGGCTGCCAGCAAGTAGGTGACCCCCCCTCATCCTAGGCGGGGCGGGGGGGGACGCTGGGGTGCTCCCTGGCTGTGCGCTGCTCTCCCAGCGCGGTCCTGCCCGGGAGCGGGGCTCCCGCCCAGCTGCGGATGCGCCGGCCGTTGGCTCGGCATGGCAGCCACGCTGGTGCTCGTTAATGATTGATATCGCCTGGGAAGAGGGTAATTGTGAGGGCAGTGAGGCACAGCTCTCGCCTCTGCCCAGCCTGGCTGGGGCACGGCCATCGCCGTCGGCCCGTGCTGGGGATGCAGGGGGGTGTGCGGGACCACCCCCCCCCGCCGGCTGCCTTGGAGCGGGTGTTTACGTGCCGGGGTGGCCACGCAGAGGCTGCGAAGGCCGTTTCCCTGGCTGCAATCCTCCATCTCACCAGCTGCTTATCTTGCTGTGTCTGCCTCTCCGCGGGGCCGGCAGGATAAGCGCCGGCGCCGCACCCGGTTCCCGGGGATGTCCAGATCCCCGGCAGCGATCCCTGGGCTGGTAGCTCTTCTCCCTGCCCCGACCGGCACGCCCTGGCACGGCGAGAGGAGCTTGGCAGCCTCCCTGTGCCACGTGTGTGTCAGGAAGGCAGCACGCCCCGCAGCTGGGGGACGGGAGGAGGGACGCGGGGAGGTGCCGCGGAGCATCCCGCCACCACGGAGCATCCCACGCCGGCCCTCTCTGCCCCGCGGGACCCAGCAGGATCAGCCGGGCAGGGCTGCGGCACGTCTCTCTGGGCGCGGAGGCTCTGCCGGCCGCCGCGGGGGAGCTGCCGGGTGCCAGGGGCTGACGCAGCCCGGGTGGCACGCCGTCCTGGCCGGGCTCCGCGCCTGCCGCTATTAGCTCGTCCCCTGAGTGACAGCCACATCGGTGCTGTGCCGGGAGGACGGGGCAGCCCGGGCAGGGGACACCCCCGCCGGGGGTGCGGGGAGGCCGTGGGCGACGGCGCGGTGGGTCCGGACACACCGTGGGTCTGCCGGCGGTGGCTTTGGGCCGTTGTGTCTCCGTCCCCTTCGCTGGGGTGCCGGAGCGTGCCGGGGACGAGCGGCGGGTGATGGCGGCCGGCGCGGGCAGCTGCTCCCCCAAGGAGTGGGGCTGGGAGCCGCTGGCGGCACAGGGATGTTGGGAGCGGGCGGCTGGGCTGCGCTATCGGGTTTCTGTCTCCCTGGTGATGGGGCCCGCGGGATGCCGGCCTCCTCCCCGGCCCAGCTCCCCGGCCGGCACGGAAACGGTGGCAGCGGGGTGCAGGCAGCTCGGGGTGGGGGGAGAGAAGCTGTGACCTGGCGCTGGCTCTGCAAGGCTGCATGGAGGGGTGACGCCCGGCTGCTCTGCGGGACCTCGGCCTGGGCAGGGGCCACAGCGGGGTGCTCATGCCTGCTCCCGTGTCTCCCCACAGAGCCCGAGGCCCTGGTGAACGGTGGCCGCCAGCCGTCGGAGCGCGGGTGTCCCAGCCACAGCTCCCTCGTCAGCTCCATCGAGAAGGACCTGCAGGACATGGACTCACTGGTGCTGGAGGAGCCGGCGTCCCCCGGCGGCAAGAAGCCACCCGCCGGTGGCCGGTCCCCCCTCTCCCCCGTGGTGAACGGGGGCGGGCGCTGCCTCCTGTCCTCCCCACCCAGCCCCGGGGCTGCCTCGGGGGGCTCCAGCTATGAGAACTTCTCCCCCCTCTCCTCCCCGGCCAGCAGCGGCGGCTACACCAGCCCCTCGCCCAGCAGTCAGGAGCAGGGTCCGGCCGTGCCCCCCGTCGTCCCGCTCCGCTCTTCCAGCTACAACCACGCCGTGCAGCCGCCACCCCCTCCCAGCGGGGGTCCTGGCGAGCCTTGGCCACCTGAGAGGCTTGGGGACCACCGGGCGGGCAGCCCCCGGCTGACACCCAGGGCAGCGCCGCGGCCACGGGCAGCCCTGCAGGAGCGGCCCCCCAGCCCCTTCCGGGAGCCGCGGGACCCCCCGGCCCCCAGCCGGCAGCCCACCGGCAGGGCGGTCCCAGAGGCCCGGCTGCAGCCCCCCGAGAGCCCGCGGGCAGCCCGGAGGAATGTGGAGAGCATGCGAGAGCTGCCCCCGCTGAGCCCCTCCTTGTCACGCCGGGCCGCCAGCCCCCGGCCGGCCCCCGACGCCCCCTCCCCACAGCCCCGGCTGGGCAGGGAGGTGCCCGGCAGCCCCCGCACCAGACGCAAAGGCCCAGAGGAGACAAGGGTCACCGGGAGCCCCTCACCCCCGCTGCCGCCAGAGACCCCCCCGCGCCGCCCCAGCTTTGGCACCTGCCTGAGCCCGGCATACGGGCTGGGCTCCCCGGCCATGCCCTCGCCCCGGCAGAGCCCCCGTGCCCCCAGGAAGCCCTTGGGGGACCCACGGCCGCCGGCGGGGCCGCGGGAGCGCAAGAACAGCATCACCGAGATCAGCGACAACGAGGACGAGCTGCTGGAGTACCACCGGCGGCAGCGGCAGGAGCGGGTGCGGGAGCAGGAGATGGAGCGCCTGGTGAGCCCCGGGGCTGGGATGGGGGGGGGCGCGGGGCCATGTTTGGCTGTGGGAGACCCTCTTTGCAAACGCGTTTTGGCTTTTGCAGCTTTAAAACCCGGCCCTTGTTTCTTGGGGATTTGCCGTAGCCGCCAGGCTGCCGGCTTATCCGGGGGGATTACAGCCAGGAGTGGCTGGCGGTGCACGGCAGCTCTCCAGGAGAACACACACACACCCCCCCGCCCCCCAGCTCGCAGCAGCCCCCAGAAACCCGCGGGGTCGGCACGGCTCCGTGGGGCTGCCGGCCGAAATTGCGGTGCCCCCAGCTTTGCAAAACCGTCCACGTCTCGCCCAGCCCCGCCAGCGCTGTGCCTGCCGGCGACGGTGCTGTGGCTTTGTGGGCACTGCGTCTATATTTAGGGTAGATGGAGTTTTTATAGAGCCAGCAGCTGCCTGGGTGGGGTTTGCCCCGTGCATCTGCTGGTCCCGGGGGCTGTGCCGCCAGAGCCCTGTTTGCTCAGCCCTGACTCATGCCCAGCGCGGGCGGCCTGAGTCACTGCCTGGAAATAGCCGAGGCGTTCGGCAGCCAGCGCTGCTGCCTGTAATTAGTCTGTCTCCAGCTCCCGGTGCATCGCGTGCCTGGCTCTGGCATGGGGTCGGGGTGGGCTGCAGCCGGCCTTGCCGTGTCCAGAGCCCGTCCCGGCGTGCAGGCAGGGCAAGGAGCCCGCGTCCCCGCGCCTGCCATCGGTACGGGGGTCCTGCTGGCTCCGGCGGCGGCACGCACCGGGATGGGCACCGCACTGACCGTTCTTCCCCGCAGGAGCGGCAGCGCCTGGAGACCATCCTCAACCTCTGTGCCGAGTACACCAAGACGGACGGCACCGAGCCGGGCGACGTGCACCGGCTCCTGGGTGGTGAGGTGGATGCTGGCCGGCGGGTCCCCAGGGGTGCCGTGGCCCTGGGCCGTGCTGCCGAGGAGCTGCGGCAGAGGGAAAGCCTGGAGAGGTCGGATGAGGAGAACCTGAAGGAGGAGTGCAGCAGCACTGAGAGCACTCACCACGAGGTGAGGGGATGGCCGTGCCGCATCGCGCCGTGCCACGCCGTAGCGTGCCATGCTGACGTGCCCTCTCCGCAGCACGAGGAGCTGGCGGGCCCCCGGGCCAAGGAGGCACAGCGGCTGGAGGAAGAGCGTGCCGGCGTGCTCAGCCGCCTGGACCAGCTCAAGGGCCGCATCAAGGAGCTGGAGCAGCAGCTGCAGGAGACCTCACGAGAGGTGAGGGGACAGGGAGCCCGCCGGGTCCCCCACTGCTCGCTGCCCCCGGCCAGGGCAGACGTCCTGACGCGGCCGTGTCTGCCCAGGCGGAGATGGAGCGGGCGCTGCTGCAGGGCGAGCGGGAGTCGGAGGCGGCGCGGCTGCGGCAGGAGCAGGAGGCGGTGCAGCAGCTGCAGGAGAAGCTCTCCAGCCTGGATGCCAGCATCCGGAAGGAGCGGGACAAGGTGAGCCCGGGGACAGGGCTCCCCCCGGCGCCGGCTGTGCCGTGCCCTCCCCGGTGCTCGCAGCCGGTGCCCCGTGTCGCGATGTTCCTCGGCGGACACATATTCCCCCACCCCTGCGCCCTGCGGAGGCGTTGAGGAGCATCGCCTCTGGGTTCGTGTCGTGGGGGGGGGCGTCGGTCTGTCTGTCTGTCTGGGACTGGTCCAACTGATGCTGTCGGTGCGTTTCAGCCGCCGTCTCTTGCGCCGGCGGGGTCGTGCGGGGCTTTCCGGGATGGCTGCTGCCTGCAGCAGGCAGCACCGACCCGGAGCAGGGGCCTCTGCCCTCGCTGGGAGGCGGCGTCCTGTGGCGCGTTCCCCTGCTCTGCTGCCCTTCGGGGCACCTTCACGCGTGTTGGCGGCCGCCGCTGTAGCGTTCAGCTCGCTGGAGGTGGCTGGGAAAATCGCCGTGGGTGTTTCGCTCGGTTTGGTGGCTGAGGTGGGGGTCGCGGCCCCTTTCCCCTGGAGTTGTCTTTGGGGCAGTTGCTGCTGCGATCTGCCAGCCGTGCCAGAAGGCACCCACGCGACTGCGTGCATGGTGCGCTCGTCCCGGCTGTCCCGTAGCATTGAGGCAGCGTGGCATGGCCCTGGGCAAGCCGCTCTGCAGCGGGAGAGCCGCTGGGACCTGGCTCCCCGCTGCCCGAGGCCGCTGTCCCCACGCAGCCCGTTCCCAGGTCCCGCCGGCAGCTCTACGGTGCCGGTGTCCCTGGGGGTCTGGCCGGCCCCATGGCTGGAGGTGCCCGGGCTGTTCGGTTGCCCGTGGCTGGGCAGCGCCGCCATCGGTGCCTGCCAGCGGTGTCCCCGCAGCGTGTGGCGTTTTTGTTCTGGTTCTGGTCTCCCAGCCCTTTGCGGGCATCTTCTCTAGCCAGGGGCAGCCCCGCGCAGAGCCAGGAGAGGAGCACAGGGAAATCCTCCTCCCAACCTCTCTGCTGACCTAACTACCCGCTTTCCTAACCAGCCTGCACTAATCGCACTAACGGTGCCTGCTCTGAAGTCTCCCATCACCTCTGACATCTCTGCATGCCTGGGAGCCTCCTGGGCACCCCGCAGCCACTGTCCCCGGGCACCCAGCCGTGCCAGCCCTGCCTTCCCCCCCCAGCGTGTGCCTCCCCATATCCCTTTTCTGGATCCCCCGTCTCTCCGCGCTGCCGCGGTGTGGAATGGGGTTTCTCGCAGCGCGCCTTTCCCAGTGCCTGGCCCCTATACCGTGCCGCCAGACCTGCGGGAGGTGATCCCCAGCCCCGTGTTGCTGGCCTCCATCCCAGCGCTCCCGTGGCCGTGGGAGGGAGGGCTGGGGGCTCTTCCCCCTTCTGCCAGGGCCAGGAGCAAGTGTCTGCTCCGCCACTAACTTGGTGTAGCTTGAGCATCTCCAGCTGCAGGGTTGGACCTCAGCATCCCCTTTTCACTGCCGTCCCGCAGACAACCCTCTCCTGATGGATGGGGGGTGGTCCACGGTCCCTCAGCCTGTGTATGGGACCTGCTGTGCTTAATTGGCAGCATCCCGGATGGTGAGCAGCGATTAACAAAGCTAGTTAGCGGTTCTTCAGAAGGTGCGTGTGGTGCAGCCATTCTCAGGAGCCAGGATGACTTTATCCGTGCTGTCAGCATCGATCTTTTGGCTGCCCATAAGTGGGCTTTTGGCACGGAAATGCCAGGCTGAGGTCAAGGGCTGGCCATAACCCCTCTAACACCGCCCGGCCTGGGCCCGGGTCCCTGTGGCTGTCGCTTTCTTGACCCCTTCGTAGATGCCGTGATGCTCCTCCCCGGCGTTCCCCCTCTTTTTTCAGCTGAGCCCCTCTCTAACTCTGCAGCTTCTGCATGGCGTGGATTTGAGAAGTGTGTTTTCTCTCTTTTTTTTTTTTCTTTCTTTCTTTTTTTTTTTTTTTTTTGTTTTTTGTTTTCTCTCATTCTCCCTCGATTCAGGAAAGGGCAAAGGTTGATGCTGAAAGGAAGGAGCTAGAGCAACTCCGGGCGCTTTACCATGAGTCGAAGAGCCACCTTGATAAGTGCCCCGAGTCAATGCGGGAGCAGTTGCGGGAGCAGATGCGAAGGGTCAGTGTCTCCCCCCACCCCTCCCGGACCATGGCCCACCTCCCTGCGCTCCAGCTTAGGCCAGCTCTTCCCTGCCAGCCGGGGCCGCACTGGGAGCGTCGCACCCGGGCTGGAGGCGGCTGGCGCCGGGCACCGCCGTCCTGGTAAGCTTGCCGCTCGCCCGGGCCCGGGGCACGGTGCTGGCTCGGCAGAGCGTGGGGCTGCCCCGGCTGCGGAGCCGCCGGGCTCCTCTGCACTGGGCAGGGCGCGAGCACGCATCCTGCCCCACGAAGGAGGGCAGGCAGGCTGGGGAGCCTCGGGGACCGCCGGGTCCTCGTCTGCCTGCTTCCAGCTATTTCCCGAGAGCGTTTATTTACACGGTGCCGTTGGTTTACCTTACCGCCGGTCCGCAGCATTTTTACCCCGTTGTCCGGTATTTTCCAGTGGCGGCCGACCTTCCCCAGCCCTCGCTGCGCAGACAAACCCATCCTGCCGCAGCCTGCTCGGGGCGGGCACCCCCATGTCGGTGGGCAAGGGAGGGCGACGGGGCGGTCCCGGTGCGCGGGAGCCCTCGGTAGCCACCGCGCCGGCGTTGCCGCGCCATGCCACAGGAGCAGCGGCTGCCCTGCTCCCGGAGCGGGGCGAGACGCGTCCCCGTGGGGAGCACGGTGCAGCTGCTGCCGGGGCGGCACCGGCAGACCCTGAGCTGAGCGTTACCGCGTGCTGTCGGTGCTTGAAGGCTGGGAGGATTGCGCAGGCGGGGGTCCGGCACGGTGCTCATCCGTGGGGGCTCTGCCGCCCGTCAGCTTGGTGACACGGGGCTGGGTGTCGGTGGCAACGCCAGCGCGTGGTGTTTTGCCACCCAGCAGGACACGGTGCTGGCCCAGGCGTGGTTCAACAGGGACAGCTAGTCTCTGAGGGCTCGGTGAAGCCGCCGGCCGTGGCGAGCTCCTCGTCTCACAGGGGTGATGATGGCTCTGACCTGGCCCGTGCCCGGTGCCTCCATCGCCTTCTCCAGCTGGGCTGAGGTTGGCAGCGGCTCCTGTGTTGCTGGTGCTGAGCGGGAGGGAAAGCTGCCTGCCTGTCCACACTGGGCACAGGTTCCTGTTCCAGGACTAGCAGGACACGGCGGGGCAGGGTGGGAGGTTTCGCTGCGGGAGGTCTGCCGGTGGGATGCGGAGGTGCCCGTCCAGAGGGAGTGATCCGCCATGCCCTTGTGTGTCCGAAGGAGGCGGAGGCGCTGGAGGCAGAGGCCAAGCTGTTTGAGGACCTGGAGTTCCAGCAGCTGGAGCGGGAGAGCCGCCTCGAGGAGGAGCGCGAGGCGCGGGGCCAGCAGCTCCTGCAGAGCCGGGCCGAGTGCCACCGCAGCATCGCCCGCAGGAAGGTCGGTGTGGGTGGGGGGCAGCAGGTCCGGCACGGCTGGGTTGCGCCCCACGGCCCCGGCTGAGCCCTGCGGCTTGCCAGCGGCCAGCTCATCCCTGCTGCCTGTTCCCCAGGAGCGGGTGGCCGCGCTGGATGCCCAGGCTGCCCAGATCCGGCTGCAGAGCGCCCAGGAGGCTGAGCGCCTGGCCAGGGAGAGGAACGGCGTCCTGCAGCTCCTGCAGAAGGTAGGGCCGCGATCGGGGGGTCAACAAGCTCTCCCCAGCCCTGGTGGTGCCCGAGGCAGGGGACAAGATCAGGCCGGCTCTTGGCGGGGCGCTGGCAGTCGGGGTGAGCTGGGGGGGACCAGCCACGGGGTGCCAGTAACCATCAGCTGCCTCTTGCTCTCGCTGTCATGCCACGCTCAGGAGAAGGAGAAGCTCATGTCTCTGGAGAGGCGATACCAGCTCGTTACAGGTGGCAGGAGCTTCCCCAAAACGTCTTCAGCTCTCAGAGAGGTAAGTGGGGAAAGAGGGGTACAGTCCCTAGGGCTGCTCTCCTGCCCGCTCCGAGCCACTGTCACCAGTGAGGATGTGCCTGGTGCCACTGCAAGCTCTGCTCTGCAGCTGCTCCACTGCTCCCGTGCACCTTCTGCCTGGAGCCGGGTGCTCCCGTCTGCAAAGAGCCTCTCTGTGGGCTGCAGAGACCATCGCTAGGCTGGGAAGGCGGGATGGAGGGAGGGAAACGCAAAAGAGCCGGGTTTGGGAGCAGCAGCATTTCTCCTGCCAGGCTGTCTGGGTGCTGCAGGAGCCCCGGCGCAGTCCGGGCGTTCAGCGCGTGGCCCGGCGAGTGCCCCGGCGGGAAGGGCTCGGTGCGGCAGGCACTCCCTGGGGTCCCGTCCTGGCCGGAGAGCAAACGTGGGGCTGTCTTGGTGCCAGAATGGGGGACTCCTTCCAATTCATGTCCAAAGGCTTTTAGGTGGGAGTGGATCGCCCCGTTGCCCTGCTCGTGGCTCTGAATGGGGAGCCGGGGCCCCGATGTCTTCGGGGACCACGGTGCAGTCTGACCCACTGCTGGGGAGAGGGGCAGGGTGGCAGAGCCCCCGTGCGCAGTGGGGCTCCTGCTGCTGCCACGTTGCTGCCTGTGGCTCGCCTTGCCTACTTGATCTTTACCCTCCAACAGGAGACCCTCCATATCTCAGAGCCTTATGAGCTGTTGGAGGGATCTAAGCCCCTGAGCCCCCTGCCAGCAGCGGCTGCCTCCTTAGCTTCTCCTGCCACCCGCTCCTACCCCAAGGCACAAGAGGTAACGGGACTAACTGCACCTGCTTGCTCGCTTGCCCCCTCCTTGGCCGAGCCGCTGCCAGACCCCTTGGGCGGACTAACGTTGCCTTTGGGCGGCGGGACATCCCGGCAGCAGCATGCTGAGGTGGCACGACTGAGGCATTTCTCATTTAGCTCTCCAGCAGCCGTGTGCATTAACACTCAGACCCAGATTTCAGGTGCTCTCCTGAGCCCGTCGGGCGTCCCAGCTCCCGCTGCCGTCCTCAGTTTTAACCCCAGCGTGATGCTGTGTGCCAGAGGCATCCCTGCGCTTCCCCACTTGCCCACCGCTTACCCTCTGGCTGGGCAGCACCTCCTGCCAGCATCCCTTAGGGTCCTGCTAGCCTGGCTTCCCCAGGAAAAGAGCAAATCCCTGGCTTTAGCATGTTTGGCTTAGAAAGGGTGAGGAAGTGGATTTTAAGCTGGCTCTGAGCAGCATGAGGTGCCTCATCTGGTGGTGTCGCACTGGGGAGGGCTTGTGGTCGGGGACCCTGGGGGACCCCAAGACCTGGGTGATGGGAACAAACAAAGCTGCAGCCTTGTGTCCCTCAGCAAGGCTGTGCCTAAGGCAGGAGCGAGGCGGTGTGCTGGGATGCCCAGCCCATCTCGGGCATCCCCGCTCCTCGCGTGTGGCGCTGGGCACCGAGGCGGCCGCGGGCAGGGAGGACAGCAAGGCAGGGGAGGGCTGGGCAGCGTCAGGGCATGCGCGCGCGGGGAGATCTGCTCCCGCTTTGCAGTCAGCGCCGTGATGCCAGCGCATGGGTCTAACTCTCCTCCTTCTCCTCCGCCGTGGATTTCTAGGAGTACATGAGGCTGTCTGACGTTTTCAGGTTCTGCAGCAATGCGCACGGCCCCATCCCGGACACTAAAGCTTCTGCCACTGCCCCTGCTGCCGCTCAGCGCTCTTTCTTGCTTGCTGTACCTCCCGCAGCCGACGAGGTACCCGCTCCAGAGCATGCTCGGGTTTGCTCCCTCGGGTTGCCTGCCGCATCCTGGGCACTGAGAATGTTGCAGACCGTGCGGCCGCCCCGGTGCTCGGAGCCCACCTCTCTCTTGGGCTGGGGGACTTGTTTGGCTGCAGCTGAGCAGGGAGCAGAGGCTGGAGCCACCCGAACTCCTTGCTGGGGAGCACTTCTTGCCTGCTCCAGCTGGGCTTTCCCCTCTGGGGCAGCGGCAGCAGGGCTGGGGAGCAGAGTGGGTGCCCAGTGGGGCGGGCGGGCACCCCTTTGCCTGTTGGACCTGGTCCCGGCCACCGCTCCCAGGCGAGGAGGGTGCAGAGCAGGCGGAGACCGGACCTGGTGCCCGGCACCGGGGCAGCAGTCAGCACCAGCTGCCCTTCCTCCTGAGGACGTGACACCCTCCTTTGGGGGCTGGAGCTGCCTGCTCATTCCCCCGTGCCTTCTTGGCCTTGCTTGGAGCCCCTTCTCCCAGTTTAATCTGCTTCTCTCTGCCCAGTACGTGACCGTTGAGCAGCTCTCAGGCATCCTGGGTGGCCTCCGTGCCCCTGCTGCTTCCCCGCTGGGCTGTGCCCCTCCGGCTCCTTCATCCTCAGGCTGTGCTACTCCTCCTCCTCTTCCGTCTCTCTCTTCTTCCTCCGTCTCTGCAGAGGTTTGTGTCCCTTTTCCCTCCCTTTACCCCTGCGCTCTCCCTGGGAGGTGATGGGGATGCACGGGAAGGGGTGAGCTGTGCACGAGGCCAAGAGGCAGCTCAGGCTCCCACTGTCCCGCAATGCTCCTTGCTGCTCTGCCCGCTGCTTCACAGCCTGCCCGAGCCCTGCCCACCCCGTGGTGCAGGGCAGGGGGTCTCTGTGCCTTCCCAGAGCTTGTGTCAGCTCCTGCTAGCCCCCTGAGCATCCCTGGCACCGCCAGGACTTGGCCAGGGAGTGGTTGGGGTCCCTGGGGGGTCTGCAGGTCCTGGGACGTGGCTGGATGGTGGAGGCTCATGCAGGGATGCTCTGACCTCTCTCTGTCCCTCTTGCTGCATCTCACCCTCCCTCCTTTCTCACGAGGCGTCTCTCTCCAGATGGAGCAGCAGCTGCCGGAGGGCCCCGTGTGGCTCCCGGCTCTTGATTTAGAGAAGTGGTACCAGGAGGTCATGGCTGGCTTTGAGACCTCCTCCTCCTCTGTCTCTCCTCCTTCTTCCCCTCCTCCGCTTCCAGCTAAAGCTCATTCCTCTCACAAGCCTCTCCAGGTAATCCTGGCTCCCTGCCTCTGGGGCTCAGGCTTCGGGAGCGGGGCAGCGCGGGGACGTTCCCAGCGGCTCTGCACCCTGGGCTCTGCCAGGCACCCAGGTGCCAGCACAGGCAGGAGCGGAGCTGAGCCGCGGCAGGCAGCACGCCTGGGGTGGGCGGCCGCTCCCTCCTCTCGCCCGCACCCCTGCCAAGACAGCACCAACACGGGCAGGGTCTGGGAGGGGATGCTCAGCCCTGCCGGCGGCTGAGCCATTCACCGGGGGGGGCGGTTTGCAGCCCCACCATCCTCCTCTCACCTCCATGTCTCCGTGCGCAGGTCTATCGTGCCAAAACAGAGGGCGATGCTGGTGCCCTCGCCCCTCGGATGAAGAGCGGGACCCCCTCGTCCTCACAGCTCAACCTCTCCGTGCTGGGGCGCAGCCCCTCGCCCAAGGTACGGCTGCCGGGGGTGGGGAGCTGGGCGTCGCGTGGCCCCGGCCGTGGCTCCTGCGTGCCTGGTGCCAGCCCCCCTCCCCGTTCCCACAGCTGACCGCCTGCCGCCCTGCCCAGGGCCCCCCGAGCCCGGCGGGCAGCCTGCCCCGCAACCTGGCGGCCACGCTGCAGGACATTGAGACCAAGCGCCAGCTGGCCCTGCAGCAGAAGGGTAAGCTCCAGCTCCGCCGCCCGGCTCGGGGGGGCAGCGGGACTTTGGGAGACGCTTCCCCGGCTGCCGCTCGGGCGATGGAGAAGGGAGCCCGGCCGATGGCAGCAGCAGCGGGATGCAGTGCCTCTCTCACGGTCTCTCGCTTTCCCCCCCCCTCTCTCCCCCTCCAACCCCTCTCCCCGACGGCGTGTCTCCAGCCGAGCCGCTCCCAGCAGAGCTCTTGCAGCCGGGCGATCTACCAGGTAGAGATGTGGGGCGGCTTGGACTGCCTAGAGCAGCCCAGAGGCAGCAGCATGGCTGTTTGCTGGCACCTTCTACTGTGCACAGGAGGGGCATGACCAGCTCAGGACCCTGGGTGCCTCTCGGCATCCGCTTAGGGACGACCTCGTGCATCCCTAACCCACTAATGCTTTGCCCAGCCTGCTCCTGCCAGCCTGGCGCATGTCCCCCCCTTGGCTGCCCGGGCCCCCTCCTCTTGCCTGGACAGATGCTGCCTGCTGTGTTCACCAGGAGTTGGGGCAGCGGCTCCCACCTCCCCACCCACCACCCCTACCCAGCTCCAACGGTGCCTGCGGCATCTTCTCGTGCCCTGGCCCGCCGCGGTGCAGCTCGGAGCCCGGCACGCTCAGTCATCGTCATCTTCTTCCCGTGGCACAGGTCAGCAGGTGATCGAGGAGCAGAAGCGGCGGCTGGCGGAGCTGAAGCAGAAAGCGGCTGCCGAGGCTCAGTCCCAGTGGGAAGCCCTGCATGGGCAGCCCCTCTTCCCCGCTGCCTTCCCCCCTCTCATGCATCACTCCATCCTCCACCACCACCGGCCCCACGGCGTCGGGCCCCGGGCCGAGGAGCTGGACCACGCGTATGACACCCTCAGCCTGGAGAGCTCGGACAGCATGGAGACCAGCATCTCCACCAGCAACAACTCTGCCTGCTCGCCTGACAACATCTCCAGGTAACCCCAGGGCCAGCTCCTGCGGCCGGAGGGGCGGCCCGCTCTGCCGGCCACGCCGCTGGCTCGACGTCCCTCCCGCGGGGATGGCAGCTGTGGTTGTCTCGCAGTGCCAGCGGGATGGAGGTGGGGAAGATCGAGGAGATGGAGAAGATGCTGAAGGAGGCGCACGCGGAGAAGTCGCGGCTGATGGAGTCCCGGGTGAGTAAGGCACCGGCGCCGTGGCCCCCCGGGGAGCGGGTCCCCGGTCCCCAGGGCTGAGCGGCTGTGCTTGCCGGCAGGAGCGGGAGATGGAGCTGCGGCGGCAGGCGCTGGAGGACGAGCGCCGGCGCCGGGAGCAGCTGGAAAGGCGGCTGCAGGACGAGACCGCGCGGCGGCAGAAGCTGGTGGAGAAGGAGGTCAAGCTGCGGGAGAAGCACTTCTCGCAGGTGCGGGGCAGGCTGCCGCCTCCGGCACACGGTCTCTTCTCCCAGCCCGGCCAGCAGGGCAGACCCAGCTCCCCACCGGAGTCCCGGCGCGGGGACGCGGCTCTCGCCGCTGCCGGCCGGCTTTGCAGGGCTGTATTTCCTTTCCAGGCTCGTCCCCTGACGCGGTACCTCCCCATACGCAAGGAGGATTTCGACCTGCGGCTGCACATCGAGTCCTCGGGCCACGGCGTGGACACTTGCTACCACGTCATCCTGACGGAGAAGATGTGCAAGGGCTACCTGGTCAAGATGGGCGGCAAGATCAAGTCTTGGAAGAAGCGGTGGTTCGTCTTCGACCGCATGAAGCGCACCCTCTCCTACTACGTGGGTGAGTCCCTCCCCGCACCATCGCCCCCTCCCCATGCCCTCACTGCCCACAGCGCTGCAGTCGACACCGGTTCCCTCTCTCGGGCAGATAAACATGAAACGAAGCTGAAGGGCGTCATCTACTTCCAAGCCATCGAAGAGGTGTACTACGACCACCTCCGCAGCGCGGCGAAGGTGAGAGCCAGGCACCGCCCCTGCCCCGGTGTTGGCCGTGACCCTCCAGCATCACCATCCCCTCACGTTGCCCTCGGCCGTGCGGGAAGGAGGCAGCGGGGCAGCTCGTGCCGGGGATGCTCCTGCAGCGGTCCACGGCCCTTAACGGTGCCAGTTCCTGGGCCCGCTGACGGCAGGACCCCAGTGCTGAGCTTTGGGGTGGGGAGAAGGGGAGCACGCCGCTGCTCAGAGGGGACCAGCAGGCTGACCCTGCCCTTCTCTCCTCCCCAGAGCCCCAACCCTGCCCTCACCTTCTGCGTCAAGACCCACGACCGCCTCTACTACATGGTGGCACCCTCGGCCGAGGCCATGCGTATCTGGATGGATGTCATCGTCACCGGGGCAGAGGGGTACACCCAGTTCATGAACTGAGGATGGGCAGGTGCTGGGCACCCCAGCTCCACCAGCTTGATGGACTGAGCGCCCCGAGCAGAGAGGATCTCCTGGGGGGCCGTGGTCCCTGCTGCGCCCCGTGCCCAGGGCTGTGCCCGCTGCAGCGGTGGAACCGCACCGTGCCCCGCGCCAGACGTCGCCCGCGCTGCTAAGGGAATAATTTTATCTTTTTTTTTTTTTTAACGTTGACTTTTTGAAAACAAAATTTATTGGAAACATATCAAAAAGTGCTGAAACGTAAAAAGCTGCCAAAGACCTGCCAGCGCCTGGAGCTTTTTGCATCTGGGAGATGCTGGACTGGAGACTGACGCTGTTACTTGCTGCCCCAGTTTGTCAGCAAGGGACGGTACAGCCGAGCCCTGACGCCAACCGGCCCCAAGTAGCCGGGACCCCTCTCTTTAGTAGCCTGAGACCCCTCTTGGTAAAACCTCTGTAACCCCACCTCGGGCCCTGGCCGGGCGGTGAGCGTGGGGCGGGCTACCCAGCCATAAAGCATTTCATGAAGCCAGGCTGTGCCCCTCGGTGTGGTCCTTGGGCTGGCACCGTGTCCCAGATAGCCCAGCACGGCCTCTGGGCTGGGGGGCGTGGGGTGAGAGGCGGGGGGTAGGGGCACGGGGAGGCAGGGGATCGGGTGGGGGGGGGAGGGCAGGGGCCCAACAACGTGCAGGAGGCACCGGAGGGACCGGGACTGGGGACGCTGGGGGTTCCGAGCAGCTCCGGAACGGGAGTGCGGCCGCCAGGGGGCGGGGCCTCGGGGCGGTGCGACAGGGAGGGGCGGAGCTACGGCCGGGGCCGGGGCGGGAGAACAGGCAGAGGTGGGGCCCAGGGGCGGAGCCCGGAGAAGTGGCGGGGTGGAGGAGGGGTCAGAGGGCAGAGGCGGAGCCTCGGGGCGACGCGGCGAAGATTTGGGATGGTGAGGCGGAGCTACGTGGAGGGGCGGAGCTACGTGGAGGGGCGGAGCTAGGGTAAGGGGGGCTCAGGGGGAAGGGGTAGAGGCGGGGCCCGGACAAGGGGCGGGGCTAGGGAAGGGGCCTCGGGCAGAGGCGGGGCCTCGGGGCGGTGAGGCGGAGCCCGGGTAGAGGGCGTGTCAGGGGGCGTGTCAGAGAGCGGAGGCGGGGCTATGGGGTGGTGAGGGGGGGCCCCGGGAAGAGGCGGGGCCCTTTGGCGTTGAGGCGCCCGCCGGCCGCCAGATGGCGCGCGCGTAGCAGGCGAGCCGCACGTGCCCCGGTTGCCCTGCGGGTGCGCGCGCACCCCCGCGCGCGCGCGCGGGACCCCGCCCCGCCCTTTCCCCTCGCCCCGCCCCAGGCGCGCCCGGCCAATGGCGTTGCGCCTCCCGCCGTTTCCCCCCCCCCCCCCCCGCTTCCGCCCTCTCCCCTCTCTCCCTCCCCGCCTCCGCGACGTGGCCCAATGGGGACGCGCGCACCGCCGGGATTGGCGCGCGGGGCCCCGGCGCTGGCGGCCGCGCCAATGAGCGCGCGCCGCGTCCCGGCCGGGGCCTGCGCGAGACGCCGGGGCCGCCGCCGCCGCCGCCGCAGCAGCTCCCGGCGGGCCGGGCCGGGCCGCGACCATGGCGCGGCTACGCTGCGGGGCGCTGGGCTGGCTGCTGGGCTGGCTGCTGCTCTGCTGCCGCCTGCCCGCCGCAGGTACGGGCGGGCCGGGGGGCGCCCGGGCCGCGGCGTTCGTGGGGGGGGAACGGGGGGGCGGCCGGCGCTCGCCCCTCGGTGCCGTCCCGCCGCGATTCCCTCTCCCCGGCCCGCCCAGCTCGGTTCCCCGCCGCAGGCCGCGCGGACCCGGGCGGAAGTTTGCTCTCCCGCAGCGCCGGTTCTTAGTGACTTTTTTTTTTTTTTTTTTTTTTCCTCCCTTCATTTCCTCGCGTGCTGCAGGCTCCGTGGCTGTGATGTCGGTGGACGTGGGCAGTGAGTCGATGAAGATTGCCATCGTGAAGCCCGGGGTGCCTATGGAGATCGTCTTAAACAAGTGAGCGGCTATTCCTCGCCCCTGGTGTGACTCCGGTACCGAAAACGCCATGTGGGGGGCTCCTGCCCGCGTCGCCGGGGCGTGAGCCACCATTGCCCGTGCCGCCAGGAGGCAGTCGGTTAGGGTAGTGAGGGTTCAAGCAGTGCTGTGCCTCTGTTGTGACGCGAATATGCCCCTCTTCTAACTCGGGGTTTTCTGACTTGTTTCGTGCCCCAGGTGAGCGGCTATTGGGCGTCAGGCGGTTCAGTTTTTAACTTCATCTTCAGCGTGCTTGGTTGTACTTTGGGGGCCGCTTAAGCAAGCAGCCGAAAGCCCGTGCTATTAAGGTCATGTTGTTGTTCAAAGGTGGAAGAGTGTAGTGTTTTTTTCTTGTGCCTGTCCCGTTAAGAATCTGGATTCTTAGTTCTCCATAAGGGAACCCAGAGGTGGGTTTGTTTTGCTGCAGCTGTTCGGAACCCATATTGTTTGTGAAGCAAATAAAGCCCTCCCTTTCGCTTGGCTCTTGTTGCTGCGACCCGTCCCCAGGACACTGAATGAAAAACCTGCGGTTGGGAGAGGATGCACGGTCAGGAACATCCTAGTTTTCTGGGAGTCTGGACCGAGAGATGATGATAAATGGATTTTTCACCCAGCCCCCTGAAACTTGGCAGTCGTTGATAGAATGAGGGAACTGTCTTGCCTTGCTCGCTGGTGGAGGAAAGCAAAACTAAAGCTAGTTTTGTTTAAGTATCAAGCAGCATGTTCCATAAAGCTACTTGTAAGCACTTCTTCTTTGTGGCAATTCATTTTTTTTTGTAGCCTTACATTAGAGAATGGATAACGTGTTATGAGGCATTTGGAAGTGGGTAGTGTGCACTGAGTTTAGCAGACAACTTTATTTCGTAGTTCGCATAGTAAAATACCTCGGTGTGCCAGTGCATGAATTGGAGCAGAAGTGAGTCATCTCTTGTGAAGTTCTCTTCTGTCATGGGAAGAATAACAATCTGCCCACCGCAGCTTCAGTTGTGAATTGGAAAGATGTCTGTCTGTGTTTCGGTAAAGCACGTTCTTGGCCTGTGTCATGAGGGACATCAGGATGTGTGAAAGCTCTGAAGGGAGGTGCTGCTGTTGCAGCCCTTCAGCTGAACGGAGGCTGGCTTTCCTCTTCGTAGGTGATATCCAAGCACCTTCCCTTAAAAACAAACAATGTCCTCCCTCACTAGGGATGCTCACCTCTTCTGTCTGGTTTGTTCCTCTCTTCCTACAACAGGGAGTCACGAAGGAAAACCCCCGTGGCTGTTTCTTTGAAGGAGAACGAGCGTCTCTTCAGCGATAGTGCACTGGGAATGGTGAGAGTTCTCGTTACTCGTCGTGCCGACTGCAGTGCTTGCACGCAGAATGTGTGTTTCCGCTGCTGGGTTCCTCCTGACAAATGTCCGAGCTAGGAGGTTTTATTTCTTGTCCTGTACTTTTCATGTCCTTGGTGTGTTGCTGGCTTTCTGTACTGGCTTTTTGTGTACCAGTCTTGCGGTCCTAAACCCCATAACAAGAGTGGTTCGCCACAGCTTGGGAGAGGTTTGTTGAACAACAGCACAGCTGAGTGATGCGCCTTTTCTTTCTGCAGTCCATAAGGACCCCCAAGGTGGCATTCAGATACTTTCAGGATCTGCTGGGTAAGCATATTGATAACCCCCACGTGGCTCTGTACCGGTCCCGATTCCCAGAGCATGAACTGGTGAAGGATGAGAAGAGGCAGACCGTTATCTTCAAGCTATCCCAGTAAGTGGCTGCTTCTGGGTTCCTTTCTGATGTGACTTTGGCTACCAGGCTTCTACAGCTGACTCTGTTGTTGCTGAAATTTTCTTTCCTGTCTGTTTTTGGTAGAACAATACAGTATTCTCCAGAGGAGATGCTGGGGATGATCCTGAACTATTCACGTGGTCTGGCTGAGGAATTTGCAGGTTGGAAGGATTTCACTGTTTCTTGCAATATCTCTCCGTGTGTCTTTGTATATGATAGGATTTGAGTAGAGACAGAAGGTGTTGAAAAATCCACAGATTTTTAGCAACAGGGTGTTGGGTCCCTTCAGCTGTAGTCTGTAAGCAAGACTTAGGAGCTATCGAGTCATCGTTTGCTTCTCATACGATGCAAGTTTGGGGTCTTAATGCTATTCTTGGGGGCAGGTACCCGAGATCCCCCACAACCCTGCAGTGAAGAAGCCTTACTGGTAATCTCTGGAGAAAGACTAAAGCACTTTCTCGCTCATGCACGTGACTAGAGTGGAGGCACGTTGATAAGTAACTGCAGGGGAAGACGGAATTGGCTCTGTCGAAGTCTCTGTTGTAACTTGGCTGGATGTAGACTTGCTGCTGGAGCTGAACTACAAATAAAGAACAAAAACTGCCCCCTATTGTGAAACTCGCTAAAAGATAAGAGGCTGGCCCGCATTTGCCATGCTGTGTTGCTAGTGAAATACCACCGTAATGAAAATCAGGTGAATTTCATTGAAGTGTTTGGCTTGCGTTGGTACTAGGAAGCTGCATGTTGTTTGGTTAGTGATACCGAGGCCAGTCCAAAGACTTTTTTTCTCTGGAGAGTGAACATAATCCGGTGGTAAAGGAAGGCTGCATGGAGATAATACTTGTTGAAACCAAAGACATCCCAGAGCATTTGAGAGTATCTTAACACGTGAAACAGAGGTCAGTGGGCGCGTGGCTTTGTGAGAATCTGTAAAGTCTGCTTGGTTTCAACAGGACACAGGTTCACCCCTGCTGATCCTGGCTGCTGATGCTGCTTCAGGATTGCATTCTGTACGAGTCGCTCGTTACCTTGGCTTCTCTGGCTTTTAATGAGTTTTTGCCTGTGGCTACACTGATGGAAACACACGTTCCCTTCATCTCTTTCAGAGCAGCCCATCAAGGACACGGTGATCACTGTTCCTGCCTACTTCAACCAGGCAGAGAGGAGAGCAGTTCTGCACGCCGCTCGCATGGCCGACTTGAAAGTCTTGCAGCTGATCAATGACAACACTGCCGTAGCACTGAACTATGGAGTTTTTAGGAGGAAAGACATCAATGCCACCGCACAGGTAGGTGCAGTGGGGAGATGCGGGGAGTCCCGTGCGAGTGCCTGGATGTGGAGGTGAAGGTGCTGGAGCTAAAACCGAAAGGACTTAACTGTGAGGAAGTGGTCTCTGCCAGTCAAGGAGTCTCGTCTGTTGTCACGGGCTCCTCAACAAGAGGAAGAGATTAAATCCTGTGCGAATAAGCCCGAAAGCTTCTGGAGTGAGGGCAAGTGGCTGGGAGTTCCCAGTTTGTAAACCTGTGCTTGTTCATTGCCTATCAACCCGGGGTGGGGGGAATAACAATCGCAATTTTCAGAGGTATTGGAAGACCGACTCTGAAATACTTGATTTTCCTGAGGTTGAAGAAACTTTTAAAGAGCAAACCTTTGTTTTCTGATCTATATGATGGATGAAAAAAGTTTTCTTGTCAGCTCGTGTCAAGCGTGACCCTGAACATCTCCTGCGTTGGATCAAAGTGTGAGTCCTGCG